TTTTTTTTTTTTTTTTTTTTTTTTTTTTTTTTTTTTTTTTTTTTTTTTTTTTTTTTTCCATAGCGCGTATCGATCGGCCAATGAGTCACGCGAAGTGTGTTTAGAAACGATCGGAATAAATCGGCAGAGAGAAACGGTTGTTTAAAGAGGGCCGAATGAAAAAAAAAAAAAAAAAAAAAAAAAGGAAGCAAGTGTGTGTTCGATGCGCGGGTACACGCGCGTGAGTAATGGGAGGAAAGAGAAAAAAAGATGGCAAGCGATTAATCAGCGGTTCACGGGAAACGAGCGAGCCACGGGACCTGAATTACGCACGTCTATTGTTGCGTCGGCGGATCGCGGTGCGCGCGTTACAACCGAAGAAAGAGAGATGGAGGGAAAAACATTAACTCGGCTCCTCTGAATTAACAAGAAGAAGGGGGGAGGAGGAGAGAGAGATGCTCCTTCGGGAGTGCATGTAGCAGGTATCGGGATGCCGATCGAATTCCACAGCCCGTGAATTCCTCCCGTGTGTACTTGATGCACCCTCTCGCCCTTGCAGTTGTAAATGAGGGAACGGAGGAGCGCGAGTATCATCTCTCCCGTGAAGTCTTTTTGTCCTTGATGCCACAGGTACTATATTTACTCTCTTTACACACTCTCTGTACACACTAGCTCATATATATACATATATGTATTATATTACCGGGCACTGCCTCCTCGGCCTTAATGACGATGATTAGCGACCGTTGTTCGTTTGGGGCTGTCATTTTTTTTTTCAAATCGTCATCAGGACCCACTTGTAATTGTGAATGGGAGCTTACAAATATAAAAAAAAAAAGTACGAGCACATCTAACAGCGCGAGAAAAGCTCTTCCGGTGTAATCGAGTGCAATTATATACATTGCAGGCCCCTATATACTCGATACCTATCATCGACCAACTGCACGAATATGTACACGCTGATAATATATATTATACAGTCGTGTGCCCGTGTTTATCGTCTTCCCCTTCCGTCTCTGTTTTCGATCGACTAAACAACTTGTCGCTGCCCCGGTCTTCCACGCGGATCGTTAAAGTTTTAGGGCACTCGCGGGGTATAGGTATACATATACCTACTCGTATAATTTTTTGTTCACGAAACCAATCAAGATGAAATTCACATATATATATATATATATATCATCGTCATTCAATTATATAAACTTGAATGCAAATTTAATTTTTTTTTCAGATGTAAGGAATTTTTGGCCAACAAAGAGGAGATCGACGAGCACAATAACAGAGTTCATCCAGAATACACGATAAACGTGAAATTGGTGCGTCGAAGTTTCGTGTGCAAGCAGTGCGGTGCTGATACAATTTCTGCCGACACGATGATGAGACACGCCAAAAGTCACCTTAACGCGTACAGATGCAAGTACTGTGTCGAAATGTTTAAGTCCTTCCACGCTGTAAAGAATCATTTCGCGGTGGCACACGTCGACAAAGAGCCCGAGACGCGAACCCTCACAACGGACGAGCAGAACCGAGTAATCGAGAATCTGATGCGGGATTCGGTGGTAATCAGTCCCATTCAACTCAGTCCAGTCAAAGTGACAAATACACCAATCAAGTCGCCTCCCACGAGTCCGAGACTCGCTAAAAAGTCGACGACGAAGCAATGCGTCAGACGAATATGGCCTACTCCAGATAAGATCAAGGCAGTGGCGAGAAAGTCGACGAATCCGCTACCTCGCTATCCTTCGGGCATCGTGTTTGAAATCGGGGAGAGGCCTGAACCGAATCCCATCTCGTATTATGGTCGACCCATAAGTCCGATAGACCTGAGTAAATTCAACACTACCCTGAACAATGCTGGACTTACAATCAAACTGGACTGTGCCAAGTTTGCAGAATTTTCGAATATCAACTTTAATCCTAGACTTGAGCTTGTCGACTGTGTAAAGAGCATAACGCGGAGCTGAAGAAAATTGCGATTTTCGAATTATATTGATATGAGCTTTGAATCATGGTAGCAAAATGCTCGCTTTTTGTTTTTGTTTTTTTTCTGCCTCTAGAATAAAATAAACGCCAAACGTTATAGTAACTTAAAAAAATGAGGCTAAAGGTGCTTTGGTAAAGAGCACAAAAAATAATCGAATTCCACAAGAATATGATCTGGAAGACTCTTTTTGCGTGTAAAGTAGATTACTAATTAGAGATTAGTTTTTACTTTCTTTAAATTGAACTTTTTAGAATATTTTTTTATAAAAATATATCAAAACCTATACAAATCTTGTAGATTTGTTTAAAAAATTCTTTCTGGAATGATTCGATAAGTGGAAAAAACAATCGTAACTTCAATTTGGTCGTGCATTGAATTACAGTACTTTATAGTAAAATTTTGTTCGTTTAACCGTGTTGCATTTTGGATTCGTCCAGCTGAAAATTTTAGCTTTCCATAGATTTTACTTTTTTTAAATTGAATGAAAACTATGTTTGTTAATTGAAACACAGAATTAATAAGTAACTATTGCGTAATAATTGGTGATACAATTTGTAATTCTGTTGTATTTTATTTTGTATTTTAAATACGAAAACGACTCGTTAACTTTAATCAAGGTAATATTGTGACGACACGCAGCTGGTAACTGGTATTTTTATGGACGAGAATAATAGAGTAACGAAAAATAAATGATTTTTTGTAAATATTCGTAAGTGTATAATGTGAAATTGATTAAAATAGGTATGTTTCGCAGCAGGTAACGTTTTAATCTCTAAAATGTTGAGGAAGTCAATCGTTATGTAAATGATTTTGTACAATCTACCGAACTATAGAATTATAAGTAATAATACATTGAGCAGTTTTAACTCACTGCAAGCAGTCTTTTTTTCCTACGTAATGAAAGTGCGGTTTTATATTTAACATTACAACTGAAAACAAATACATGTTTCGAGTGAGTTTATGCTTATAATGCATATTAATACATGCAACATCAAGTCTAAGCTCGCAGAAAGACTGAAGTATCAACTGTGTCTATTAGAATGTAAAAACTGGAAGGAATGTGTAAATAGAGTGTACAAATCATGAATAAATATTTTCGATTTTTTTAAAGGCCACAGACTTTTATTTCAGTAAAATCGTAAAAATGCGTATGGTAATGCGTAGAAATATTTTTTATTTTCGAGCGTTCAACGTACAAATACAGTAAAAATATGATAAAGCACATTTGATAGAGTTGAAAATTTTCAATACTTGATAATTAGCCTTTCAACGATGATAATCCAGCTCTCATAATTTCATCCACGAGAAGAAGATTGCTGGCAATGACCGTGCTGGGAAAAAAAAGGTTTTGATAATAAAGGTATGTTTCGAAATAATTTTACTAATAAGAGCTTACCAGGAGTTGACAATTTGCTTCTTTACTACATAATTATCAAAGATGCCAGCTGCTGTAGGGTCTAGAGCTTCTCCGGAAGAAATGTCTAATCCCACAGGCTGATTCAAACTAATTGTTTCTTCTTGCAGTTTAACGATTGTGTCTTGAGTATCAAATCCACTGTTGACGGCTAAAGAAATTACAAAAATGTTAGTTTTTGCATTTCACCTACTTTATACTGTATTAAAATTTTTATGAGTTACCCAGCGTTTTTGGGATTATAAGTAGAGCTTCTGCAAAAGCTTGGACGCCAAGACGCTGCTTTCCTTTAACTTGTTCTTTGTACTTCTGGAGAGCTTGGTAAGCAGTTACTTCGAATGCTCCAGCTCCTGGAATCACTGCACCATCCTCTATGGCATTCTTGATTGCTCTTAATCCATCGTAAACAGCATCTTTTAGCTGAACCAGCGTGTATTTGTTTGGTCCTTTCAACAATATAGTTACGGAATTGGGCTTCTTACAGTCTTCCACAAATGTAAATTTGTTTTCTCCCAAAACGTGTTCGTAGACGACACCAGCATAGCCCAAATGCTCCTCTTGTAAATCGTCAAATGAGTTCACAGCTTGCCCACCGCACGCAAGGCTCAATCGCTCCATGTTTCTCCTTTTGGCTCGCCTGAGAGCCATAATTCCTTCTTTGGCAAGCATGTCCAGGGATGGTGGGTCAATGCCCTTTTGGTTGATTACAACAAAGCTCTTGTCGTTATTGTTGCAAAGTTTTCTCTTCAATTCAATGACTTTCTTCACCCTATTGTCTATAAATTCCCGTTCAGCACTGACCAACTTTTCGCGCTCCTCGGCTGTTTTGTAGAAGAAGCCACTGTTCACCTGAAAATTTAGAGTATAAGTTTTAATAAAGATTATCACGATAAAAATATGGGAGTAGTGACTTAACGTGTAAAGATGGCAAAGATGATCAAGTACGTACCTCGCTCTTTTCGTACTCCATACTGACGTTGCAAGTCAATATGTAAGCATTTTCGAGTTTTTTTGGCATATCTGGATGCCTAGAGCCATGATCCATCACGAGCCCTTTGATGAGAATTGTGTCGGCCGCTGTTTTGTGCTGCATCTCCATGATTTCAACCATGTGCAGGTCAATCTGCTGATCTGGCTGTCTGATGTGAAGAACAGCATCGGTGCAAATCTCCGTGAGATTTTCGGCGAGAACAGGATGAATTTTAGTCTTGAGGGCAGTTTTCGCGACGGAGAGAAGGGCCTCCTTGGTGGGTTCGATGGGCAACTTCATACTGTCCAAGACTTCGAGAGTTTTAGTTTTGGCCTGGTCGAAACCTTCCGTGACAACTCTCGGGTGGAGACCCTCGGAAATGTACACGTCTGCCTGTTTCAGTAGTTCTCCTATAAGCAGGACTGTGCTGGTTGTTCCATCGCCGGTCATGTCGTTCTGAGCTGTCGATGCTCTTGCGATCAAGGACGCTGTAGGATGTTGGATCTGCATTTCGTGAAGTAGAACATTGCCATCCTTGGTAATTTTGATATCTCCCGATCCCGACACAAGCCTGAAACACGCAAGTGATACAATTACACGCGGAAAGAACGTCCATGACCGTATAAGGAGCGCTTTCTGTGAAATCAACAATGGAGTCCCTAACCTATTCGAGGCAATCGATCCGGAAATGGACACAAAACCAACGATGATAGTGTTAACAATGAAAACCATGCATCGCGATGGTTATGGAAAGTTAATAACATTTACAGGGCTTAGAAACATCGCGAAAGATTATAAATTGTTGATGGGCCTCACATTTTCATGGTACCCTTGGGCCCGAGGTTTGTCTTCATGACTTCTTGGATACCCTTGGCCGCGGATATGTTGATGGCCAGCGCCTGAGCCGCCCTGGCGAACTCAGCCTTGGGATTCAGCAAACTTATCGCAGACATGGCTCGCTTTTAACAATCAACTTTAGGATAAAACTGTTTGAATTGACACAACCTTTTTCACATGCACGAGGATTGGAACAAACGAAGTTATTTGCTCCTTTGCTCGGTGCTGCTGCTGTATGATGCGCGGAGTTTGTATGGAACTAAAAAAGTACTTAATTCATTTCCTAGCGCGCGCATATTCCTACAGTTTGCCGTTCCCAATTTCAAAAAAACAGCAGGTGTTTTTTTACACTTTATACTTAAATAATATCAAATTAATAATATCGTACACTGCAGGCTGTGTCGAAAATTTTTATCAATAGTACTTTAATAATTTCCGCTTTGCGCTATATTTCTGGTGCTGCCGGAGATGTTCCTTGTGAACCCCAATATACTTAAATCCAAGAGGACGATTTGAAATAACTTGAGAACGAGTTTTTTTTTGCGATTATTTATCATTGGTAGTTTCAATATGGCGAACCGGAGCTGCGCGACGCAACCCAACGCCAATCTTTGCCGAATAGAATATTTATCATTGGCGAAACAAAACTTCACGGTGTTACTGTTTTTTCAAAAAAGTATTTTAAAAAGTGTTAAAATAGGTTGGCGAAGCGATAAACTGACAATATCTATCTGTAAACTATTTCTAGTAAAGTAGGAAAATCATATGGGTCCTTGTTTGTATAGTAAAAATATGTGTTTTGTTTGCTTGTGCAATAAATTGTGATTGACAATATTTTACTACTTTGTGCTCCTTAAGCAATTACAATTTATTTAAAAAAAGTTACTGTATTTATTTAAATGACAACAAATCCACGTTATCCTTTTTTAATTATAACTACTAAGTTTTTTTTTGCCGTGAGAGATATTGACCGTTTTTTTTCCAATCTATATTTTATTGCTAATTTTTTGCCAAACTTTCATTGCACTTTAAATTTTAGATTTTTTCTTATTAATCGAGAAGTTGAACCCACTTACAATGTATCATTTAAATGGTGATACACCATATTATTGGTACATTTTTATTAATTTTCGGTTTTTCATACATTGATACAATTTCCAAATTTAAATAAATAATATTTATCATTCATTAAGTATTTCTGTAAAATACGTAATTTTTTTTTGCACAATTTCTATCAACGAATTTGTACATCAAATGAGTCGTACGCTCTCCGATGCAATTTGAGAAAAACCACAAGTGTAAATAATAGGATGTCATTTTCAATTTAATCACATATATTTCATAATCCCACCGGTACTTAAAAATCTCATTTCCGAGAAAATGCATCAGATAACAAAAGTTGGTTTTAATCATCGAATTTTGCACTTATTATCCCTCGTTGGTCTCGCACATCGGAACTAAAAATAAATTTAACAACAATTTAATTCACCAGCCAAGAACTTAATTGCAGCTCATCTTTTTTTTTTTTTTTTTTTTTTTCTTTTATTATCCATCTATGCTTTTACGTTATCGGTTTTCAAAGATTTTCATTAGAAAAAAAAAGTTACGTAAGCTGATGAAATTTTCGAGAAACCTGTAGAGCGAGCGTTTTTCTTTATTATTTTCCGCAGCAAATTTTTTTTTTGATCCATGCAAACATTGCACCAAAAAAAAACAAAGTAAAAAAAATAATAACTCGGATGGATCAACTTTATTGTTAAAAATGTGCTCGTGTACAAAAAAAAGATAAGTGTACACTTCAAAATAACATCTATTTTTCAATTTAATTACACGCGCTTGACAATAATTTTTTTCGCATTACCAGGGACTTTCCTCATGCTTATTTACCTATCTATATGCAAGCACGCAAAGTCTGTACAACCACGTGTACTGCAATCGTTGAATCAAAAGAATAAAAAACAAATTATTGTAAACTCAAACAATTTAGCTCTGAAAACAGCGCAAAGATTAGATTGTTATGAAAAAAATAAAATCTTTCATATACGTCCGTGCGAAGTAAATGGAAAAGGAAGTATCTTCCTTCGAGAGATGGTTGGAAAAAAAATCGACTCGCAGAATTGTAGTCAAAAGAAGATCCTTAAATGTGTATAAAAAACAGATTTTTTTTGTTTTTGAAGTAAGGAAAAAACAACTCAACGTGCAGTATCTCGATTTATCTGTGAATAAAACTCTAAATATATATTTTTTGAGTATACGTGTAAAAAAGGTATTTCGTTAGTGATAAAAAAGAGCATTTTGGAAAAAGGGAGGACCGCCAGAGTATAGGTAATGGAATAAAACAAATTGATTTTTGTAAGCTTTTTGAAGACACTAATTTTATTATTTATTTAAAAAAAAACTGCTTTATGGACATTACAGAATATAAGAGCTTTCACGTCGGTCACTTTCCGACAGCAGCAATATTTATCATCATTCCCTATAAATCATATCACGCTGAGGTGTAAACAATAACAGTAATGAACCATTTCACTAAAAGCACATTAAGATTAGAAAAATAATTTATCTTTTGAAAACAAAAGGTAAAAGAAAAATAAAATGTACGAAAATATGTATGGAATTCGCGTAACGCACGTGCAAGAAGACGAGAGGATACGATTAAGGGGGATAGGGAGGGGTCGGAAAGAAGAAGGGAAGGTTCAACCGTTACGCATTAAAATAATAATACTTATAAAGCCATATCTGTTTGCTTGAGCCGAAGAGAAAAAGACAAATAAAATACCGGCAGTGGGAAGTAAAGACGGACGGGGGAGTTGGGGGGAGATACGACTTTATATCGTATCGCAAAATCGTTAAGGAAAAAAAAAAAAAAAAAAAAAAAAAAAAAAAAACTCTCCCTTTTCTCCATACCCGTCATCCATACACACACCTACTATATAATATTATATAGCATTATATAGATAGCAAGCGGCAATTTTCTTTTACGATCGCCTCATCCCTCTCCCGCGTATACTATACATTATACCCCCGATGAGCTGCATCACGCACCAGCAACCCTCCATTAAAATTCTTTACGCCATCATCAAACGAACGAAGGATGGATGAATCATCGGCAGCCATCCCAGTCGTCGTCTTGGTTGTCTTCGCAAAGAACCGCAGACACAGCCCCACATCAGAGAGACAGCATCACCTCAGCCCAACGTACATGTATATATATATATTATACAATGAGCGTGTGGGTGGGTGCTCTCTGTGAGGTATACCGACACGTAAAAAAAAACCTGCTCTCGAGGCATTTGGACTTTTATTTTATTATTTGTCCCATATAAGTATATACACTGCCTCTCTCACGAAGATGACAAAAGGCTTATTTAACCAACAAAAATATCCTATCTGTCTACCCCGAGTGGGTTTTTTCACTATTTTCGGCACTTTCTCGGATCGACGCGCTCACATAACATAACACCAGCGAAACGATCGATCGACCCGATCCTCCTCCATAAATATACGTTTCTCCCTGCAACGCAATATATTGCTTCACCCCCCGACTGTCCGAGAAATTTATTGGCGCTGGATGGGCGTGCGGAAACTAAATTTTCGTACAAAGTCGAGTGCACGCAAAGGCAAAGTGTCCACACACGTATTAATGTACGTATACCTAATGTACGCGTACGATACAGGTAGCCCGACCAAATAATATCGTGTGGTGGTATGTGATGGTTAAGTATATAAATATGTAGAGGCGCGTAAGTGGCAAGTTCAAGGCCGGGGCGCAGGCAAGGACGAGCCGACTGATTGACCGTCGCATAAACCAAGTTTTGATCTTATTGATCACTCTCCTGTGACTCGTCGGAAAACATCGAATGAGCAATGTTGAACTGTGAATCATACTTCGGAGTTATGTTTTAGAAAAATTAAAAAAAATAAAAATAGTGGTCACCAAGGATTGACATAATTATACATATAGAGTGTCGACTGTGTACAAGTATACGTGCGTGGCCTTTGCTGTGCCGGTGCTTGATGTGCTAAACCAATGGATGATAACAGCATTATTTGTACGCACCCAAGTTTAGAACATCGTCTTTTCTTCGCTTACGCGATCTGAATCGATAATCCGCGGACTATATGTACTTGAGGCAAGTCGAACGGTCATCTTGATCAAAGTATTATAAATTTATTGAAAAAAAAAAAAAAAAAAAAAAAAATCTAACTTGAGCAATTAAAAGTTAATGGTAGGACCAAAGTATGCTTATGAAATTGTTGTAAGTACATACCTGTATAACATTAACGCACATAGGTATCGGTCATGGGTATATAATACTTTATTGTTGTACTATCCTTCCAATCCGCGTTTTCGCGCAGTACTTTCACCTCAGCAAGCATATTATAGGTGTACCAGGAGCATAATTTTTTTCTCTTTGTCTCCCTCTTGCAGATCTTACGGCCAATAAAACCTAATGTATCTCGTACGGCGTGCTTTGTTCACCCCCACCGCTGTAAAACATGTACCAGCGAAAAGTGTATCGTAACGAATGATTTAATGCCTCCACTAGTGGAGGTGATAGTCTAATGATCGGCCTTTTTCCGACCGTACGATCCGTACAACTTGTAAATATCATAGTTTACCCCTCCTCCCGCGGTCCCCATTGCCTGACACAAGACCTTTAAGATTATTTTATTTATTATTTTTTTTTTTATAAATACTTGCGTCTCCCTTGGTTATTATCTTGGAAGTAATTTTCACAACTCCGATGTGTTACGTGCGCGTTTTGAAAACCACTCGCACTCGCCAAAACGTCATCGTTCTCCCCCCCCCCCCCTACACGTATGAAGATAACAACATTTCAACTTTCGATTGACCGTGGCGGAATAGTCGGTTTGGAAAAAAAGAGTCCCTGAGCCACGATAACCTTTCGACAAGTGCACCATCAGCTGTTGGTTCTATGTGCAAGATTAATAACGCGCATTGTCTATGATCTGATCGGTAAAAGCCAATACAGTTGAATTTTGTTTTCCTCGATACTGACCACACTCGGGGAGTGAGAACGAGCTGATTTTTTTTTTTTTTTTTTTTTCCATAGCGCGTATCGATCGGCCAATGAGTCACGCGAAGTGTGTTTAGAAACGATCGGAATAAATCGGCAGAGAGAAACGGTTGTTTAAAGAGGGCCGAATGAAAAAAAAAAAAAAAAAAAAAAAAAGGAAGCAAGTGTGTGTTCGATGCGCGGGTACACGCGCGTGAGTAATGGGAGGAAAGAGAAAAAAAGATGGCAAGCGATTAATCAGCGGTTCACGGGAAACGAGCGAGCCACGGGACCTGAATTACGCACGTCTATTGTTGCGTCGGCGGATCGCGGTGCGCGCGTTACAACCGAAGAAAGAGAGATGGAGGGAAAAACATTAACTCGGCTCCTCTGAATTAACAAGAAGAAGGGGGGAGGAGGAGAGAGAGATGCTCCTTCGGGAGTGCATGTAGCAGGTATCGGGATGCCGATCGAATTCCACAGCCCGTGAATTCCTCCCGTGTGTACTTGATGCACCCTCTCGCCCTTGCAGTTGTAAATGAGGGAACGGAGGAGCGCGAGTATCATCTCTCCCGTGAAGTCTTTTTGTCCTTGATGCCACAGGTACTATATTTACTCTCTTTACACACTCTCTGTACACACTAGCTCATATATATACATATATGTATTATATTACCGGGCACTGCCTCCTCGGCCTTAATGACGATGATTAGCGACCGTTGTTCGTTTGGGGCTGTCATTTTTTTTTTCAAATCGTCATCAGGACCCACTTGTAATTGTGAATGGGAGCTTACAAATATAAAAAAAAAAAGTACGAGCACATCTAACAGCGCGAGAAAAGCTCTTCCGGTGTAATCGAGTGCAATTATATACATTGCAGGCCCCTATATACTCGATACCTATCATCGACCAACTGCACGAATATGTACACGCTGATAATATATATTATACAGTCGTGTGCCCGTGTTTATCGTCTTCCCCTTCCGTCTCTGTTTTCGATCGACTAAACAACTTGTCGCTGCCCCGGTCTTCCACGCGGATCGTTAAAGTTTTAGGGCACTCGCGGGGTATAGGTATACATATACCTACTCGTATAATTTTTTGTTCACGAAACCAATCAAGATGAAATTCACATATATATATATATATTATTTAATTTGCGAGGTAAAAGTACTTCCCCCAGTTCATCTCGATCTTTATCCCACATAACGTATAAATGAGTATACTAGACTATAATTGTTACGTAAATGGAAAAACACTTGTGTGCACTTGTATGTACATATAAACATGTGCACATGGTAATGTATATGTATAGTGTATAAAGAGTTTACGCATCACATTCCGATCGAAGTGATCCGAGTCTTACGCACTGCTTCTTCGTTTGATTTTCGTTATCTTTGATTTTAAAAAAACAAGTACTATAATACTACCGTGACTCGTGTATCCTGATAACGATTTTGGGGACGATACCGATACCTCGTGTAATCATCTACAATCGAGAGAATTTTCGTGCGGGTGTGTAAGTACATAAAGAGAGACCGACCCCGATTCGGCGTGTTGGGTATGTAACCTGCTACAATGTAACTATATACCTAGTTTGCCCGGAAAAGTAAATGAGTAAGCCGGTATCCCTGCAGCCGTAATAAAATCGGGGACGCGAAAGAAATACCATCGCCCGATGAGTATATTATGTATATTATATACGTGGTTATTCAAAGCAAGCGACAAAAATTTGAGGAATTCACCAAAACGACGGCCCGTGTGTGTTCCCCAAAGCCATCTCATTATTAGAAAGTGATTTCTACGAACGGCTACCGATACACTCGATCGTTTAACGCGCGACGTTATTGTATGCGCGTCTGGGACTATTTTTTTTTAATTTTTTTGTTTCTGTTTTTGGGCAGTCGCGTAACTTATACCATTTACACGCGTTATTGCGTATTATAATCGACGATTCCCGTTTTTGGCGATTATACGGGTCGCACGTCAGGGGAATTTCAGAGCTATACCTGAAGCATATATAGGTATATTGGAGGGAAAAAAAGGAAAAAAAAGAAGCCATGAAAAGGGAAGAAGAAAAAAAAAGTGAGAGCGAAAAGGGAGTCCGAAAAAATTCCAAGCCGAGAGCTCACAATAGATAAAGAAGAAAAAAAGAGGAGAGAGAGAGAGAGAGAAGCGGGGCAACCCTGGATTATATATACTTTGGGGCGCGATCCTTCGGCTATGAGTCACCCGCCACGAGAGGCATATATATATAATACACACGTGTTCTCGGTTGGAGAAGGGTGGCGGTGATTTTGCACTATGCCCTCCGTTGTCGTCGCCGCGCACCTGGAATTCCGCGCTCCATTGGTATTGGTGTATATATACATATACCTATTGGCTACCGGGATTATAGTGTATAATCGGGCCGATCGTGCGTGCAGTGTGTAGGCGGCTAACGGTAGCTATATGTACATATATATATATGTACTATTAACCGCTATGATCTCCTTGCGGGCGGTGTAGCAGGGCAGAGGAAAGTACAGCTCCCGGTCGAAGCGCCCGGGCCTCCTGAGAGCGGGATCTATGGCGTCGGGCCGATTCGTGGCCCCGATGACGATGATCTCCGAGTTGTTGTCCAGCCCGTCCATCAGTGCGAGCAGGGTCGAGACGACGCTCGCGTGCACAAAGTCCTGCCGGCTCGACCTCACGGGGGCCAGCCCGTCCACCTCGTCGAAGAAGATGATGCACGGCCGGCTCTGGTGCGCCTGCGAGGGGTTCGCGTGTGTGTTGCTTTTTATCGTCACGGGGGCGTTTTTTTTTTTTTTTTTTTTTTTTTTTTTTTTTTTTTTTTTTTTTTNCTACAAAGTTTTGTAGGTTAGATTCGTTTAGAGTCACTCAATTGAACAATTATAAACGAGATTATAAATGTCATGATGTAAAGTATGATTCTGGATTGAACGTTATTAATGTCCGTACGTGTTACAATATTCAAGCACCCAAATTGTTCAGTCTGTTTTTCTTATTTTCAGTTACCGTCGAGTGCGCAGTAATTAGTGCCTGCGCAATAATTGGATCATTTACCCCTACAGGTACAAAAGCTGTCTCTCCTTGTCTGTTGCTGCCGGCAGACTATGGGACGTTTTCGCGGCTCCTTTAGCCTGGCACTCGCACTTGTGTGCAGGTATAGGCATAGTAGTAGAGCCCGAGTAAAAAGAGAGACAGAGAGCCGCAGCCTGCACGGGACAGTTCGCACTCTGACACCGGAGCGTGCGCTTCTCTCTCTCCCGTTCGCTTCGCTCGCTCGCAATACCTGCTTGCCGCACCTGCCTTTCGAGTTGCCGATTTTTTTTTTTGTTTTTTTGTTTTTTCCTCCATTTTTGTCCCTCCCCCGACTCTGTTGATAATTTTTCCGGAGAAATTATTCGTACCCCCTTGGAGTTGGCTATGAGGTGGCCGGTGGCTGGCCGCGTCTGATGCAAGCCGGGCGGGAGGAAAATCGGCAAGAGCCGGAACATGCTCGGTAAGCCGGACAGTTGACGCCGGGCCTTGTGCGTTACTTTTCGTATACCGATAAATGCGAGCGAGTCGCTTCGTCGGGATATTTTGCCGCGAAGCAGCAGCAGTTGCTGGACATGGGTGATATGTCCCGCGATCGTAGGGGCTGCGCGTTGCTCAGGGGGACAACGAGGAGCACCGGCTCGAAGACTATGAGGCTCCACAAAGTTGCTCTACTCGCCGCGATCGGTGGACTTGTCATCTGCTGCTGCCAAGGTGAGCCTTTTTTTTTTTTTCATAAGTGTATCCATACTGTTTTTGCGTTCGGCGTCTGTGGGTTTTTTTTCCCCTCTCCAATCCTTGTTGAACTGAGATTTTTCAAACAATAATTTTTACGCCCACATAATTTAGTTGAAATCTATGTTCAGGTCAAACTATAAAGGAGCGAAAAATACGATACGCATATGTGTACGGGTAAAAAAAAAAAAAAAAAAAGATTCTATACGTACTATTCATGAGGAGCATAATTGTTGATCAAAATGAGACGTCTACACGGTATCATTTTCATGTGATGGTTGCAGTTTTCTTTCCCGTGGACAAGTAGTGAAAATGAAACAAAAAAATCGTGGTTCGATGGAGCCGATTGCGCGTCCAAGTGACGATTTTCGCCGATTTTCAAAATACCGTTCGTAAAGGAAAAAAAATTGCAAATAACCCCGTAACATGAAAACCAAGTGTTTCCCAGCGCAATCAAAAGGTGCAGTCAGCCGGATACGCAAGGGACACCACGACGACAGTCCAAATCGCGAATTAACTTTACGTAATTAACGGGCAATTTTGCATTTACGTAACACTGCGTGTACCCACACATACATATTTATGTGTACAACCCACTCACAGGATGATCACCGGCGTTAGCGGGTATACGCTACATACATCCGAAAAAGACGCCTTTACGTGTATAAGTAACCATCGCGCATCATCACTGCATCCCATCGCCTTATCCACTTGGTGGTGGCTTATACTTTCCCCCCCCCCATTCGAGTCATCCAAAGTTTCATATGATCTTGCGACGTCGTATTATATTATATTAACATTTCATGTTATCGTTACATATATATATATATTTCTAGGCATCGGATCTGTACCGATAAGCGCAATGATTTCTACTTGCGTGACCTATCGCCCTTCGCATTCGTCCAACTCTCATATCATATACCTATACTGTGTAGGAGCTTGCAATTGATGATATCTCCGCCGATTTCATCTTGTCGCGATTCCATATGTTACCCTGTGTCCATTTCAACACGAGCTTTGCGCTACCGGCGAGCTTTCCGATTTATTACCGATCAAAAACCTCGTCGTAAAGTTTTAAGAAACAAAACAACAAAAATACATTGAACAAACAAATTAAATAAGATAGAGAGAGATGTACCTATACTACAACGCGACGAACGTCGCGGCCTTGGCGTTTTACGCGCCATTATTAAGTACATGCGTACATATATACATATCACCGCATGCTCTCTGCACTTTTCTCTCTCTAGCGCAAAAATCTATACACGTGCGCGTACCATATAGGTATAGAATGTCCTTTATGTTATTGCGCTTACCACTAGTGTCGAGCCCCACAATGTAGATTGTCCTGATAATATATAGTATTATATATATGTATATACCGTACAAAAGAACTTGACCGTGAACCGACGGAATTCACTGGACGGTCGTGCAGTATACCTATAAGTATATACATATATACAGATGATATGTCATTAGTGAAAAATTTATCCCCTATTTATGCTCTCGGTCTTTAGGCTCGAGGCTTCCGGTTCTACGCGCTGATTCTTTCGGCATCATCAGGACCCCCTCATCATCTCCCGCGTTGTATACCCTAATGGGACTCTCTCTCCCCCTTTCTTTCCCTCTCGTTTTCCCCTGCAGCCTCTTTTTTTTTTTTTTTTTTTTTTTTCCTCCTCTTACTGCTCCCTTTCTACCTCCCGTTCGCTCTTTCTTCTCCCCGGCGTTTATATTATCCGACTTCTTTTTGGAGCCGGCATTCCTCGAGTACATTCCAGGGATGCTTCGGATTGTCTCGTTTTTATTTCCCTGTACGTATAATAATATGGTCGCCGGCCCGTGTGCATTTTTATGCGTGCCCGTGTGTGTGTGTGTGTGCGTCTCTGCATTGTACACGTGTACATTTATGTATATATGTATAGCTGCGGTTATCACATACATATGGATACGCGGACACGTGCCATTGACCCGTGAGTTAATGATTTCATGGGTTTTTTCAATTTTTTTTTTTTTCTTTTCGGGCTTTAAAAAAAAAACGCCCCCTCTTTTTTTTATTTGTGCCTCTATCCCCTTTCGGCCATCATCTCTGATGCCCAACCAACACGTGCACACATACAAACTCTTTTTCACCAATAAACCGGACTCTTTTTTGGATTATGCAATGTTATACTCTTCTACTTCTTGTTGGTTCGTTCGTTGTTTTGATTAAATGATACGAGCAACTCTGATCATCTTGACATTTTTTATTTCTCTCTTTGACGCGTGTGATTGTAGAAAAAAAAAAAAAAAAAAAAAAAAAAAAAAAATCAAAAAAAAAATTATANGCAAGGAACTTGCGAACAAGGCACAGTTGAAATTAATATTTTTCATTTCATGTTACTTTGTGCGGACGTGAAATCACTTTGTCACCTCTGCACGGTACAAACGTGATGATGAAAAACAAAAAACAAAAAAAAAAAAAAAAAAAAATCACCTATCAACGCTATATTCCTATTTGCTCCATGGATCGAATGTTACATCGTTCATTTGTTTGGACGATATACACCTAAAAGCACAAGAGCAGTACTTGATTATTTTTTAGCTGAAATGACGTGCAAACGCGTACGATATATTAGTGCGAACAAAAACAAATTGAAACGTAAAAAAAGCGGAAGCGCATCGGGTGACGCGTTCGGTAAAATATATATATATATATAGGTACCACGTGCGCCTATATTATTATGTACGAGTTATCGATTGTAATCTCCAATTGAATTAGCAGAAACTCCTTTATTTCCCCTTCTCTCGTTCGGCTCGCTTTGAATCAGCTTCTAATTGCTCGGTAAGAGTATCAAGATCGAACGATCATCGGCTCGATTAGCGCGCGCAGTAGGAATGATGAAAGTCCACGCGTAGTGTCAACGAACAGGGGGGGGGGTCATATTTATTGAGAGGCCCATCACAAATTAATATACCGCGCTCCTACATCGTATAGGTAACAATTTCCGATCGCGCGCGAATCGTTGACGCAATATACGTAGGTGTAGAGACCGCACGCGCGCGCGAGCTATCGGGATACGTAAAATTTTACTCGCTTCGTCATCGCTGCTGGAACAAAAAGTATTAAGTCATCCGCGTTGGGTCTGCGCCGTATAGAGTCGAGTGAATGAAAAGAAACAAGTTCACGAGGAGGTTTCGCGGAAAAACCGGAGGCGCGCGGATCGTCGCTCTGATGTGCACCTAATGCTCACTTTCGATTTCAAGCGCGGTGCGCATTACGTACACGTAGTACGATAGCTCGGCGATGATGGCGATTGCGTGCGTCGGCCAGGCGCCGGGAAACTCGATAGCCGATAGATCCGCGATCGTTTACATTTATGTTATAAGCGCGGGAGATCGGCCGATTACGTCGCGCATCTGGCGCCGGGAGATGAGCATCGACTCGGAAACGAGGGGGAAAAAGACTCGTCGATGGATCCCGAGTCTTTTCTTTTGTCGTACCAGAGTGCGGAGATCGTATCGGCTAATGAGATTTCTTGGACGGTACCGATCTATTAGTCTTTTTTTTTTATGTATATATAGGTAGACAGAGGAATAATCCATACGACCTTTTCATCAGTCCGTTGGTTGAATAATTCATTTTGCTCTCATATCTCAATATTGTGTTCACGCTCGGGTCGCTATACTCTCTACGTTATTGGTTTAGCCTCACTTGTATTCACACACTTGCTTATAATATCGGTCGTATTAGGAAATGACGTGTATAAATATGCATCCATATACCTACATTGTGTGTCACATTCAGATTTCATCAAGTTCACAAATTGCTTATGTTTTTTAGCCTGACAAAGGGATGAATTAAAATAAATTTTACAAAAAAAAAAAAAAAAAAAAAAAAAAAAAATACATAAATCACTAACGATGTTAACTACCGATCACTGGAATTTAATGCATTTTTGTGAAAAATAAATTGCAACCTACCTTGCAATTTGTTCCCTATAGCCAATCGGAAACTATTTAATTTAATAGAGCTGATGACACGGCAAATCAATGATTTGAGCATAATATATTATCTTTAGTAACATAGCTACTACGTGCAAATACAACGCAAGTATAAACAATACGTGTATAAACTGTAAAAAAAGAGAGAATTAGAATTAGAATTAGAATTTATTTATTATATGAGCTAAGGGCTGGGAGCTATTGATAGCTCGGCCAATTACAAGACTGACAGGTACAAGTTGATGCACAATGTACTGATGTACAAGTTAAAAAAAGAGAGAGAGAGAGAGAGAGAGAGAAAAAAATTGCAAATGAACAACGCAGTACATACATATAATACATGTGTATAGATATATTAGCAGGTATGCGTATGTGTACGTTACCCGATTCATCGACCCCTATTAGCTCCTTCTCCAAACCCCAAGGGGATAATGATGCAAGTAGGTAGAGTACGTACAAAAAAGCGCGTATCAAAAAATTCCAATCGCATTCCTCGACGATCGAAATCCCTCCACCTCGTTCCCTTGGTGGGGCCGAGTAAATAATGCGCTTACACACATGCACAAACAGTAGGTAGAAAAAAAAAAAAGAAAAGAAAATAAAACAACCCAATTCAAACGAGACGAGAGTCCCTATTGGTACCCTCGTCGTATATGTATTTACAATCGAGAGAAGACGCAGAAGAAGGAGGAGGAGAGAAGGCCCGAGGAAGAGAATGGCGCGTGGAATGTTAATCGAGGGCGTGATTAACGGAGTGTCGCTCCCCATCCTCCCGTGTATAGGTACACATACAGCGATGGGGTGATATTACAAGGGGAGGGTATACATATAATGTACCATAAACCGGAGTTCTTTCGACGTACATTCCGACAACAGGTTTTTCTGTGTGTACATTATAATATACTACACGTACGGAGCACTTAAATTACACTACTCTCACTCATGTGGCAGGTATACAGGGAAGGGGGTGGGTGGGTGGTTAAACTCTCTCGCGGGCACGCGATGCAGGAATTCACGCCTCCCACGTTATGCGTCATCCGATTCCCGATCCTCCTGCTGTCTCTCTGTGTCTGCAGTGTAAGTGTGCATAATATACACTCGGTTTTAACGACGTAATAATACCCCCGTCAGCGCGCGGTTTTTCTTTCTTTCTTTCTTTCTTTCTTTCTTCCAACCAACCAACCGATCTATCTATACCGATCGATCGATCGTGTTCCTCCTTCGCTCGTACCTTTTTCTTTTGTTCTTTTTTTTTTGCGATCGTCGCGTTATTCCCCGGGTATTCTACTTCTTTAGATACATATCTGATGAAAGAGAATGCGAGTGATGCAACCGATTTTCTATTTATTACGAGCACTATATACATATATAGCTGCGTGTGTATGGTAATTAGGCAACCCGATGATAGCGTGATGAGGAATCTCGCAATTTTTCCTCGGCAGAGTTTCTTCATCTCCCAATGCTCCGTGTAACGATTTATCAACGGATCACCGATACCGGTAACCGATTTCCGATGGAAATGAAATGGTTCGCAAGGAGCTTTGCGGGTTGGGGGGTGAAATAACCAACGGTAAGGTGCTTACTAGTATGATATCGGTATATTCCACGCGCGTTACCGAGAACCATTAATTTTTTTGTATGGGTATGATATAATCGTCATTCTTGGACGTGTATCGAGAGAGAAAGGGAAGAGACATGAATCCACGGCACGTGTTATATTCCTTCCTCTCTGACTAATTCCCATTATATGTATATGTATACGTACATTTGTATATAATATATGTGTAACAGAGTAACATGGCAATGTATTATCAGGTGCTATTAAACGTTAATATCGCTATCGGCACTTTTTATTCTCAATGCAAACACCTATTTATCTATCTTGAATAAAATTCAAAAAAACTTGATGGGAAAAAAAATCACCTCGGGGAGCTAATATTCCTTCAAAATGTCAAAAGCCGCGAAAAAAATAATTAAAAAAAAAAAAAAAAAATTACCGATCATCATCACGCAGAGAATAATATGGATATAATCGTATGAGAGATTATTTGATCGTGAAACTCTTGTCTGTACCTCGATCGAACACTGTATATTTATATCACTAGTCGTAGTCGTTATATAGCCGGTGATGAGTTAGCCTTTTTATTTTCCTTTTCATTGATTGATTCAAGATAGTTATACGTATTACACGTGTACACGTTAGTTGATCAATTTACAGATCGATTCAAACAAACAAATTTTTGTTCCCCAAAACGAACAGATATAGGTACAAAATTATTCCACCAAGATACAATTGAATGGTGACTTGGTTCACTATCCGATATGTACGAGCGACAGCATCCAGTTGTACCCAATATATTATATCATACTCTCGCGCGCATTCAATGGCAATTACTATCATCCCCGTGAGAAAAAGTAAAACGGAGAAAATAATGGGGGGAAAAAAATAGATCCTTCGAGCTCGAGCCCAGTAAGACGGAGGTGCGTTAATTAATTCATGTGACGCGCGCTTGACTCATTTGATATCGTGTCCTCGCGTTTTGTCGCTGTTACATACATGTATATACCTATATACGTAAATTTATACACACCCATCGGATATACATATAGGTATAGATACAATATGACAACGTGTTGTAGGTACTGTATTATACACTCTCGGTCATTATCGGCAGATGCGGGTACTTAACTATGAGTACGTAAGTACACTCGTGTTCTTTTTTTTTTTTTTCTTCTCGCGCGTGCCTTGGCATCACCCGCACGCACGCGCGTGAATACATGTGCGACCTCGCTACGGCGACTTATATTCGCTATGTACATTTATATAGTGTACACTTGTGCTAGCTAGGTAATTATTATTATTATTACTGTTTTTTTTTTTTTCTCATTTTACACCTGTCGGACAATACCGCGTTGGGCCAATCGCACCAATGCTACGCCTATATAAGCGATCGCAAACTCGTGGGCTTCTCTTATAAGTTTAAGCATTATTATTATTATTATTATTATTATTATTATTATTATTATTTACTTCATAAGATGATGATGTATTTTGATTTCGGGGTGTATCGCTCGTAGTAACGACTTCGATACCCGATAATTTGTATTTATCGGTATCCCTGTATGTTATATGTATACATATATTTTCAATGGTATCGTCTAGCCAATTCGAACAAGAAAAATGAAAATTCAAAGTGGTGCTGAATGAATCAGCCGATAAGCAGAAAGTTTGATCGATAGAGAAGAGAGACCTATGGGTATTCTTATAGTTTATCGTAGTGCATGTTTTTATGCGTTAAAAGGCAAAGGCGTACCTATACCGAATAATAACACTTATACGCGAAATAACGATTGTACGGGTCAAAGAAACGTATATAGAGATGATATACATCCAAATCAGCGTGTATTTTTAAAATATCCTTCAAAATCTCATACAATGGGTATTTATATTTATAACGATAACCGGTCAAGGACTCTCTCTCTCTCTCTACTTGTATTAGGTATGACGGACGCGCGCCGCTATTGTTACCTATACATGTATACTTGCAGACACCTCAATCACAGGGCGTCAAACGGAATAGAAAATCGCTCAGCAGAGAATACCAAAATCACAGCGCGTTCACATGTGAGTAGCTCGATTTTGACGCCAACAACCCGGGTGCAGTGCTCTCAGCTCCCCCCCTGCATGTGTTGTGTGTGTGTGCTTGATTATATGTCATCGCCTCGCGACTTAATTTGAACTTAATTGTTCATTTATATATGTACCTACACACAGTTGTAGTGAGCGCGTGTTATAGAAATGAAAGCAATCGTCGAGCGAGAGAGAGGGGGAAAAAAAGGAGAGATACGCGAGCCGCAAGGCGATTGCGTACGTGACGCTGAGCGCTTCCTGTCCCGCGTCCTACATTTTTCTCTCTCCTCCTCCTCCTCGTTTACATGCCCGTCGCGAATTACCCTCGATTTGATGTTTTGATGGAATTGATTCTCTGTCAAGTGCATAATATCAAATAACTACTAGATAGAAACCTCATGGTATAACTTATGAAGATGATGATGATGATGGTGTGTTATTCGGATGCATCTTACGATTAGCGTGAAATTAATTGAAAGGGGGAGCTAAAATATATACACCGAGTACCTATACTAGTGTCTGATTAAAAAAAAAAAAAAAATCAACAAAATATATTATACTTAAATATACATATGTAAGATGGTTCGATTGACTCTTGCAGGAGTGCCGGTGGCGGATGACAAGCCGGCCGAGCTGTCCGCTCCGTCGGAGATGCAGACCACGAGGATACCGACGCAGGAGCTACCGACTACGACTACTACTACGATCGAGCCGATGATCGAGGGCCATCCCATGGACGATCTTTTGCCGGGCATAAGCAGCACGACGAGCCAGCCCACGACCCCGGCCGCCCCGACGAGTCTCGGCTTCACGGACGTGCCCCAGCACACGGAGACGAGCCTCGGAGCCTCGGTCCTACTCGCCTGCCGTACCACCGAGCCCGTGCACGAGTGCCAGTGGTCCTGGAGGCCACTGCCACCCACCAGTCTGCCCCTGCCCAACATTGCCGACTCCTCCGAGTCCGAAGATGGTTAGTTTCTTTTTTATCCCAGAAAAATATATTATATTCCAATTACACGTTTACTCTTTGTTACCGGCAAGTATCCGGCACACATATATATGTATAGATGTAGGACATTTTTTTTTACCAACATGAAAAGTGTCGGTATAAGATACGGGTGAATGCATGATGAATTTAAAAAAAAACACCGGCATGTCTTAATCGCGTGTGTGGCTGTGGAAAACAAATGACTTTTGCACATACTTATTTTTCGAGGGGGAAAAAAATTACATGTAGAGGATATTTAGGATGCATTTAGATTGTAAGTAGCGGCAAAAGGGTGATTTAAACAAAGCGCCAGCCTGTCAGTGGAGGGATCAGCGAGCCCTTCCTCTGTCTATCTCCGTTCAAGAGGCTTTTGGACAAGTGCACGTAAATTTATGTTTATGAATTCCTCGCGATCTACAGTTGGAAGGGGAAAGAAAAAAAAACGAATTGCGCCAAAAGTAGCAATCAACTCGCAAGTACGGTGGAAATGCATTAAATCACGAGGCGCTCGTTCGAAATAACAAATTGCTGCACGACACGCCGCGTCGCCAGAGAATGGAGCCAGGAGCTATGAATGTACGTCATCTTTGCATATAGCTTCACGCAAATTGCATTTTTAAGCTTTAATTTTTCGACTTGTACATAATATGTGCATAAGATCGAATAAATTGTACGTAGGTCGTTGTATAGTTCGCTATGTTGTGTCTCAGACACCAATGAAGGGCTATAGGATTGAAAAAGCGGGTCATCGGCTTGCACATGTGTGTAATATTATAATGTATGCAGGAAATAGAAAGAAAACCATTACAATCGGACCATATCTAATTGAAATTGCCGGCGCCAAGCCGGTGCTCCTTTTTTTTTTATTCGTTCGAAACTTTGCATGACTTTTCTCTCGACTCGCAAAACACACGTCCGCGCTGGTGTATCAATTAGACACGAGACAGTAGGACTGGGGACGAACGGCCGGACAACTGCAGACACATGTGAGCACACGGTCCGCAATTTTCACTCGTCAATCGTCAATGTCCCATCGACTGCTCTACTCTGCAGGCGCCACCAAACAGATCGGCATGCGCGTCGCGTATATACGATGTACCCACAGCTCTCTCGAAATTTCACGCCTTCCTTCGGGCCGAAAGTCAGAGCGCGTGGACTTGCACCAAAGCCAAATGGATCGATTCTTCTGATTGACACGCGTGTGTCCTTTTGAAAATAGGCATCGAATTAAAAAATGCCGGTGTATCAGCAATCAATTAAATGAGTAAAGAGGAAAAAAAAGTAAATAATGTATCTGATTCAGCAAACAACGAGGATGTGTCGAGTGCCAATGGAACGGCGTCGTCGACAGCAGGGAGTACGTCGGAAGCCGAGCCGAGTCTGTCCCTGCCCGTGAGAAAGTTCCCGGCCTTCGGCAACGCGAGCAAGGACTGCTCGGTGCGCTTCTCGAGCGTCAAGCACGAGCAGACCGGCTACTGGAGCTGCGCGGCCCGGCGGCCCGAAGACGCGAGCTTCACGAGCGCCCCGGCCGCCAGACTCGGCATCGCCGTCCAGCAGCAGCAGCCGCAAATCAAGTTCCAGAGGCACCAGCGGGGCAGCACCGGCACGTCCGTGGAGTCGCCGGTCGGCTCGGCCACTCGGCTCGCCTGCCGAACCACGGAGCCGGTTCTCGAGTGCCAGTGGTCCTGGCGGCCCCTCGACAAGTCCCGACCCTACGACGCCGAAATGCGCCGGTTCCCGCCGGCCGGCCACGACACCACCGACTGCGAGCTCGGCCTCCCCGCCGTCAACTCGGAACACGAGGGCTTCTGGACCTGCGGCGCCAGAACCGACCCCAACTCGCCCTTCGTCCAGGCCCCGCCCATCAGGCTCCTCATCTCCAAGGGTGAGTCACACACACACACCAACCAGTTGCATAATCATATATGTGTATATATATATGTGTATGTATGTATAACATTAACTCTGGTTGTAGTGGAGTTTGTGCAGTTGTCGCGGGGTATCCAGATAACAGCCGGGGAGACCGTGAGCTTGCGGTGTCTGGTGAATAAGCCCGTGTTCGAGTGTGAGTGGTCGTGGCGGTCGAGCAACTCGAGCAAGAACTCGACCCTCCTGCGGCAGTTCAAGCCGGCCAAGGACAACGACCACGACTGCTCGGTCCGAGGAGTCATACTTTACGAGGAGGAGGGCGTCTGGACGTGCGGCGTCAAACTCGTCCCCGGGGGTATACTCCACGAGGCACCCTCGACCAGCGTTAGTCTCCTGCCACCCTCGGGTAAGCTCAACTTCACCGAGACGCCGGAGAGTACGTCGGTAGCCCTCGGCTCGGAGGCTACCCTGCACTGCGCCACCAACGGCAAGATCGAGCGGTGCGCCTGGTCGTGGAGGCCCCTCGTTCCCGGCAACAATCTCTCGTCCACCGAGTCCAAGATCCTCCACGAGTTTCCCAGCCACGGCGAGCTCGGGCGCAACTGCAGCCTTACCCTGGCTAGCGTCACCCTCGAGGAGCAGGGCTACTGGACCTGCCAGGTCTACGGCTCCGTCGGCGCCGGTCCCATGCTCCCTCCCAGCCCTGCCAAGCTCGGTGTCTACGAGGAGGGTACGTTATTGCATGCTCTTGTTTTCACTTGAGAATAATATTTAAAAAAAATTCATTTGCAGGCGAGGTGCGCTTCTCGGAGTTGTCGCAGGACTTTCAGATTACGTCAGGGGCGACGGTGAGTCCGATCCTCTCTTATTATAAATGTGATGTGATGCGAGACTGTGAGAGTATAATGTAAATGTATTGATGGAAACAGGTGAGTTTGCGTTGCGTGACGTCGTCACCCGTGGACATGTGTCGCTGGTCCCTGACCTCCCAGGTGTCCCAGGCGACGGTCGTCGTCAAGCAGTTCAAGCCCATACCCCCCGAGGCCAGGGACTGCTCGGTCAAGCTCTCCCATGCCCTGCCCACCCAGGAGGGACTCTGGACGTGCGGAGCGCGCACCCACGCCCGCCAAAATTACACGGACGCCCCTCCGGCTCGGCTCAGTCTCATCGAACCAGGTAATTACATGTTACTCCAATCTTATACTAATCGACACTTACTACCACGCTGATTGGTGCACCTCGCGAATTAATATATATTTATATATACCAAACGTTGGTTGTTTCTTCTCTCTTATACGAGCACAACACCCCCAACCCCCTTCTAATTTGTGTTATCAATCTGTAGTAGTAGTATTATGGGGACTTTTTTTTTTCTTTCCCTCTCTTTCTTTCTGTCACTCCATATTAAACTGTGTGTGGGCTTATTGGTTTTTCCACACGTTCGCTTGGAAGGGAACGACTTTTTTTTTTCATAGCAAACGTGGACGATGCACATGGATTTCCGGGGGAATTTGCACTTGTAAATATTACCGGTCACAATAACTATATTACTGTCCTAATAATGCATAATTTTTATGCGAATAACACGATGATCCGTGAAATCGACGGAATAAATATTCATACATGTGTATTATATACATTTAACATCTTATCATTTTTATGCACGTGTATATACACATAATTGAAATCCATATAAAGCGCACGATACTTACTTTTGTACATAAATATGTACATGTATATATAATTAATCTGGGTACTTGCACAAAATTCGCTTCACAGAGCCACTTTAATCGTATAACATAAAAATTGTTTAATTTGCGTTATACCTATACGTAATATTATTTATCTATTACCAGAATGAAGCTACAAATACGCCCATGTATGTATAATGTATCATATGTGTAAATAAATCATGCACTGTTTAAATTTCTTGAAAAGGGACTCAATCGGCTACTGGATCGGTTTTTCTTCCAACAGTCGCGAAAAACGAGCCTCTTGAGAGAAATTTACGCACTTTTTTTAAAATGCACGTGTACATATTATAATCACAAAAAGTACCATATAAAAAGAAAAGTACAAGCTTAAATGTTATTCAGTCGATTTCCGGCACGAGAGAGAAGAATAATCGTACGCACGAACGAGAGAACGACACGAAATAATAATAATAATAAAAAAAAAATCCTGCCGCCTCGCACCGACCCCCCAACGAGACGAGCAAAACAAAGCAAACGAAAAGATCAAGTATACCTACATGATATACATCACCTGATGTATAAAAATCGAGAGAAAGAAAGAAACAAAACACACGCAAACAAACAAACAAATACACACACACACGGGTACGTATCGCACTTGTTTTTGTAGTGGTGAAGGAACTGCCTGCCGATTGCCACTTAAGATCGATAAAGCCATCGATCGAGTCCACGCTCGTCGCCGACACCCCGTCCGAGAAGAGCCGATAGCACAACCTCATCCAAGGACTCGTTGTACAGTGGCCCTTGATATAAATATATACATTTTTTTTTTTTTTTTTTTTTTTTTTTTTTTTTTTTTTTTTGTTTTTTGTTTTTCATCATCACGTTTGTACCGTGCAGAGGTGACAAAGTGATTTCACGTCCGCACAAAGTAACATGAAATGAAAAATATTAATTTCAACTGTGCCTTGTTCGCAAGTTCCTTGCCTTTTGTTTGTACTTACTAGGATAAACAAAAAGAGTGCGTGTGCTTCGACGATTGAAACTGATAAATTTTTTTTTTTTTTTACTGTTGGTGTGGTACGCGTACCTACGTACACGCTTTGGCTTCAATAATCGTCAAGTCATTTATGGACATTGTTGATATTGTATCATTTAATCCACTGCTGTGCCTCAAACGTATGGTGCACCGGCGATTTTTGTTCTTTTTCTTATTATAAATAAAATAGCCAAGATTTTGAATGGTTTGTACGTAATATCGATGCGACGAATTCATGAAACTCGTGAGTCACTGCGAAAAAACATTCACCTGGGGTTTTTAAATGTTCCGATAAATGGATTTTTTATAAGTTATGGATTATAAATTAGGGTAGAAAATAATAGCTACAGTGATTTCATCTGCGCGATTCTCATACCGTTTACCATCTGCAAGATTTTGGTCAAAGTAAAGATCGAACGTTAATTTACGACTTATAACTGTAATGTATAAAATTTATTCGAGTATTTATCGTGTGAGTACATGTACTTGAGATGATGGATTTTTTCAATTTCACGAAAGTACACAACTGTGTGTCTGATTCGTCTGCACTAAGCCACGAATAAATTTTAATGAAATCGTTGTAACATATTTTTAAAAAACCCCAATTTATTATACAACACAAACGTCTTCATCACTGTGCCTTAATTTATTCTTGTCATCAGTTTGAGTTACGATGTAAGAATAGGTAATTTGCGTAGGATTATATTTATCAAAGTCGCAATAGACCAATTGTAAGTTATACATATACATGTATAAAAAATCTTTGTAAATGTAGTAATGCGATGTAATTGTAAAACCATTAGCGCTATGAGTAGACAATTTTTACAAATTGCACGTGTACAAATATTTATATTTTTGTCTTAGGTAGTGTATTTATAGTACGTTGACTGTGTAAGTATATATATTATACAGTGATATGTTTTTTTTTTTTCGTAATTAGCGATCGAGAAATTTTTTGAAAAAAATTAGCTCACGGCGTTAGCGTTATTGGCAAGTTGTGAACTTTGATGTCGAGTATACCTCGATTTTGAGCTATTGTATAGTATAGGAGCGTTTCGAAAAATAATTGGTGCCGTCGAAGTATAGTGTTTCGCTTGTCCGCGAGGTAAGATTGTACCGAGCATTTGTAAATAAGTACAGCTTTTACACCGATGCATCTTTTGCACGTCGATGAATTTAATTCTGATTTCTTGTGTGCTCGAAATCGACAAGCAAACACTTCCTCATGATACTGTATTTATGTACATTGACGATAAGTAAATAATTGTGAAAAAAAAAAAAACATGAAAATAATGAAATTCTCGAGATGTATATTTTTAAAAAAGAATCCCACGGACAATGCGTTACGAGGATTCTTTAACGAGTGTGTAACAATTACACGCCAAGAAATAGCAAAATGTTTTACTCGATGCGTCACCTCTATATCTTTGCAGAAAAAAAAAAACAAAAAAAAAAAAAAAACAAAACAAAAGAGGAAGAAGCGAAAATGACGCGACTCGTTGCTTGAAACGATGAATTAATTCAAGGCTTGGAATTTTCTACTTCGTCGACAATTGCTCCTTTTTTTTCTAGACTCATTAGAGAGGAGGAAAAAACCTCGATTTTGAAAAACGCGAGATTCTGAGACAAAGTGCACTGCAAAGTGGTGCCAGAAAACAGTGAAAAGTACTTGTGTGTCAGTGCCTATTATTGTAAAACGGCGAGAAGATTTTTTGCTTTTTTTAATTTTATGTAATGACTGTGGATAAGTTATTTATTGTAAAAAAGGGTGAGCGAAAATTAAAAAAAAAAAAATAATAGAGATCTAGTGAATCACTCGTCGTCATCATCACCTGCACGCACACACGCTATCGTTATATACTTGGCGCATCGCAAAAATATTTTTATGTTGCTTACGTGTATAGCTTTATCTGGTTGTATTTTTATTTTTTAGAGTCATAGAAATTTTTTTTTTTTTTTTTGTTCGGTATTAGAAAAAAACGAGGAGCAGAGAGGCGAGATCAATGTTTCGATATGCCCGTGTACGGAGTAATTCACTCGATTGTTGCACCGGTGCGGGACATCTTACGGCAATCGTAGGGTCTGCGAGTGAAATTTCGTTTTCAGGACTTTTTGTGCAACTGTGAATCCTTTTTTTTTTTTGTTTTTTTTTTGTTTTCGTATGCTCATCCATGCGCGTGTGTTTCAATTAAACTGAGCGTTTTGGCGATTTCGGCAATTTTACAGAGTATATATACTTTGTTGCCAGCCAAGGAATTCGATACGCCAATGGAATGTTTTGCGGAAAATTAAATTTTTTTNTCTCAAGATTAGGTGGTGATGGTCGTAGGACTGTCGTGACCGTCTTTAAACTCAATCGGTATAGCTATATGTATGTATATACGTATATATATATGAAAATACTGTTGTACTTTTTCCACACGTCGTACATCACCAAAAACCAACTTTTTCCTTATATGTTGAGCACAATATATCATCATTGGCTTCAGCTAAACTTTCACTTGTTTTAGATAGCTGCTTTTTTTGTTGATTAAAATTTTTATTTTCTGATAAATTTTCATTTTCCGCCCTACTTCACTTTCAAATAAAAAAAAAAAAAAAAAAAACAAAAAACAAATGTAAAATCTCTGATTTTTTAATGAGTAAAATTTATGTCCTGTAAAATGTTCCAAAAAATACAATTTGCAAAAAATCGTCATTCCCGCTTAAGCTTTATAGACATCGGTTGTGTACGCACTGACAGATAGAAGAGCATATTCCACCAGGTGTTTGGGAAATCATGTCAAAGGTTCGTCTGTCGTTGTCATAAAACAAAACAAAAAAATTACTCTCTGGCAGAATGTCGATTTCCTAAAATTGTCAAAATAAAATTCACAGATCCAATAACAGTGACAGTATGGGGCATGCCACATCAAATGGCAAATTTGGCCTGCAAAGTGGGCTTCACGACGTACGAGCCTCAGTGCTTCTGGAGACACGGTTCTGACATTATTCTACGCGAAGTTGCAAATGCAACGCGAAAAATGAAGTAAGAGCAGTCACGTTTGGCTAACATCATTAAACGGATACAAAAATAAAATTTTCCCTCAAATATCGTAATATCCCAATTCCAATTATTTGTACAGATACACGGTTTTGATGAATCACACGAGCGGTGTGTGCAGCTTGCAGTTCGTGCCTGACGGCCGTGACTTTGGCGAATGGATTTGCGAGTTCCACGTGAGCACTGAGCTGATGCAAGCGATTTTTGGAAGTGCTTCGATACTACTTTTGAATAATTCACCCGGTTCGTTTTCATTCTTGTACATTTTAATTAACAAAATAGTCTCGTGTAATATAGTTGATATGGTAAAAACCATATGATTTAAAAAAACAATCATTATTTACAGATCGGCAACTTAGCTGGTTGGTTGGCGCGATCACGTCATCAATCCTGTTTCTCCTCATAATCATCGTAGTGGTCGTCGTCTATAAATCTCGTAATCGACGAATCCCTACCTTCTTAGAGACGATACCGTCAACAGAGCATCACAAAAGTTGCAACAACAATGACAATAACAATGGTGTCGCTGGGCACGAACGGTACACTTACAGTCCAGCAAAGATCAATTTGAACTATACCAACCCAAACTTTCTTTCCAGCACCGAAAGTGTTAACAGCGTTTTGCCTAATCGCAGTCCGCATTTGCATGGAAGGATCACGATGCGAGTACCGACGCAAAGAACCTTTGATAATGTCAGGATGTGAATGTGTTACTTTTCCTTCCTGAAACCAACAAAAGTTTCGTGTTACGCAGTTAATTGATATTTTATGCGAGCAAGTCGACTTGATCGGTAAAACATGCATGGATCACCAAATTTTCACCAAAATGGGACTTTTCATAACAAAATGGTACATGCAAAAAAATTTAATTGTTTCTCAGAAACTTACTGCAGCAGAAGCAGTTGCGCTTGTATGTCATTCAATTTATTGTATAGATCTGACAACTCAGTTCTATCCATTTCAACCGTGAGTCTGGATTTTTCAGAACCTTCCAAGTTTAATTGGATTTTTGCAACTGGTTTAGCTTCCTTGGCCATAGCAGTTGAGGCTGCTTTTACATCTACCCTCCAACTTACATCTGTCATCTATTAAAAATCATTGTTGTATTTTGAATAAACGTATAAACAGTCATATGCTTTATTTATTTCACTCTTACTTGACAAGGAAAAATTGATTTTTGCCTGAAACTATCCATAATCTCCTCTCCGTGAGTTATCCAACAATGTGAAAGAATGGCAACTTTATCATCCCCAATAGAAAAATCATTTTTCATTGTATTTTCCATGATAGTTGACTTGACGCTGTGAAAAGCTGCTTCAGTTAATATCGAAGTAAGTACTTGCAATAAAATATCGAGATCAACTTTTTCCAAGCTTAGAGAAACCAAGAGTTTCTCTTCTTCCTCGACATTGAAGATATTTTCACTGGCACCTGACTTTAAACTCTGACAAATTCTATTGACCAACAAGCGAAGCTTACTATTTTCCACTTGATCCAGAACTCTCAGCCCACGTTTCATCCTTTAACAAAACAATGAAATATTAATAACAATAAATGTTGATTTTCTCAATTATTGCAGTGCACTTGCTATTACCGTTCGTCAATAGATATCCATTGAGTCGCTTTATTTGTTACCTCCATGTTTATGGGAAAATTCAGTTATTGTTGTAAGAACTTACTATTATATTTCTTTCGAAAAAAAAATATCAGCTTTCTGTACTTAAGTAAGTACTTTCTCTCTTTGGTGAAATTGCAGCACTTTTTTATCAACACACACAAAAACAACACAAACCTGACCTAACTTAATCTCTCAATTTTATCCAGCTTCAGCTGTCCAATGAAATTCAAATCAACGCGCGTACGTACGAAACCTACAATACTTAATTTGTTTAATCTGGCGACAGTGTCGATAGAAATAACAAATTAATTTCTTTACCCACAATGTATCAAAAAAATTTTTCATTGATGAGGTTAATCGAGTTATGCAAAAGACTGTACTTTTTCAGGCATGACTGTATGTATTTTTGCCTGATTTTTTAGTACAAATTCAACAAATTAATTTTCTTGTAGAAAAAAAAGAAATGTTTAGATATAAAAACTTTGTACTCAGTTCCGTCGTTATTGATTTTTTTCATGTGCACAAATAAATGATATTTCAACAAGTCTCCAACCATACTTTATGAAAGAGACAAAAAAAAACAAATATTGGTATATTTCCTAATTTTCAGAATTTATTGATAAGTAAAGTAAATATTTTAAATAAATTAAATATTTTGTTTGCTAATCTTCATCATATGTAGAATTTAAACGCTAAATAATGCATAATTTCATAACAATCATCACTTTGAAAAGTCGATACATCGATACTCACCCTCTTTTCAATATCGACTATTTACGATATCGATACTTTTCGAAGCATTGCCAAAAGTATATCAACTTTTCGAGTCACTTTTCAAAAGGTAGTCGAAGCGATCAAGTCCTCAATAAGGTTGGACAAGGCGAGTTTTATCAACACAGTGCAAATCAATTCGCCAATTTTTAATCAATTGTCTATCGATTCGCTAAAAAAACCAAGTCATCATCATGCTGTGGGGTAAGTAATTTTACTTGATTTACTTTGAGTAATGAGAAATTCTTATAAAAGGTTGTACCGGCAAGCACAAGACCGAACACGTGTTGAATGGCGGCAACGCCATGCGGTCTCGCTCCCTACGTGGACATGTAATTTCCTACTTGAATATGATTGCCACAATCTCGTTGTTACCTGTTAAACTCGCACGAGATAACAAATTCAATATTCCCTTTTAAGCATTAACTGGCATGTTGTGAAACATGACAAATAATGACGAGAGCCAAGCTTACCCATTCCTTCAGTGACACGCTGCTATTTTAACTATCACTGGAAATGCTTATGTTTTTTTAACGATTTCAGGACTAATAATCGAGTCAAACAAAAAGTACACGCAGACCATCGAGCAAAGTTTTCACATCTCGATGGCAAGCTTGAATCTCAGCAAATCATGTAAGTCTTCCTTGCACACAAATTTTGTCATTGTACATAACATACTATAGCTAACTTTGTTCTCTATTAATGTTTCAGCTGCTGGTCAAATCCAAGTGAGCGTTTTTGATCATGAATCCGAGTCAAATTACCTGTTGTGTACACTGCACAAAGAATCACATTGGCAGCAGCCATTGGACTTGAATTTTGCAGCAGGTCAGAAAATTTCTTTCTCCTGCAATGGCAATGGCCATGTCCACCTGACTGGCTACCTGATTCCCGAGGACGATGACGACGTATTTGATAATGAAATGGATGATGAATCTGAGGAAGACGAGGATATTCCTGTCCTCATGCCAATTGAAAAGAAAAGGAAAGCCAAGCCAGAGAATACAGAGTTGAAAAAGTCAAAAAAGTCCAAGTTGGAAAACTCTGATGAATCCAATGAAATCGATGAATCTGATTCTGATGATGGTGAAGGTGTAATGGGACCACTAAGTTTTAATAACGAATCAGATGAAGATGATGATGACGACGATGAAGATGGAGAAGAGGAGGACAATGATGATGAAGAGGAGGAAGATGAAGAAGAGAAAAAGAAAAGTAAGTGACACTTATAAGCGAAACACAAATTTTAAAACTAATTTCGTATCATCAAAACAATTTTTACATGCTAAATTGTATTATTAGATAAAACAACCAAAAAACCTGCAAAGAACCAAGCGTTGACCAACGGAAAAGATGTACAGCTAGAAAAGCAAACGAAACAACAAAAGAAAAACAAAGAGAAGAAAGATGATAACAAAGTAGAAGAAAAGTCAGATCAACAGCAACAGAAGAAAAAAACAGTCGAAGGTGGAGTTCAAATTGAAGAAGTTCGAGTGGGACACGGTGCCCCAGCTAAACCTGGAAAATATGTGGGAGTTTACTACGTAGGAAGGCTGAAGAATGGCAAGAAATTTGATCAAACCACATCTGGAGATGGGTTTAAATTCAAACTTGGAAAAGGCGAAGTTATCAGAGGATGGGATGTTGGTATCGTAGGAATGAAGGTCGGTGGTAAAAGAAAAATTGTTATTCCGCCAGGCATGGGGTAAGTATTTTTAACAGTATTTTTTTCCGCTTTTTTCTAATTTAAATGACAATTTTATGTATATTTGTAGATACGGGGCCAAGGGATCTCCTCCAGTCATTCCACCCAATAGCCAACTTATATTTGAAGTCGAACTCAAATCTGTGAATTAACAGGTGTGCTGTTCTGGCATTTGTATTATAAATTTCAGAATTTTTACTTTAACTTATAGCAAAAATCAATCACAAATATTAAATTCTTTTACATAACTATTTTTTCACTTAATGTACTTATAGGATAATATTGAATTTCTACCAATTTTAAATAGTGTTTATTAAATAACTTTTTTTATTCTTGTTATAAATAAAATATCAATAATGACAACGTCATAGTTACTAGAGAATAATGTCTTGAAATAAGTGTTTGATAATAAAAATCGATGATGATAACGTTTTGTTCCTTTATTCATAAACAATCCCAACCTTTTGTAATTGTATTTGACAAATAACAGTTGTGTGAATATCGAAGAATAAACAAAAGTGGAATGTTGACCTTGAGAGAAAAAACAGAAATCAATAACTTATCACTGCACGAACCTTTAATATTTCAATAGGAAAAATTCAATGGCATACAAAAACACAACAAATTTAGTTACTGTTACTCCGTCTTTTTTGCTTCTGACTTTGACTTCCAAGATAAAGTACAAACTCCATCTTTACATTCCTTAACTAATTCTGGTGCTTCTTTTTTTTCTTCATTTTTTCCTCTGTACCAGAATTTCATGAGGATTGGCTGTATGAGAAATCTGAATACTAATAGCAGAATAGGTACAATTACGCAAGGTACACACACCATGGTCTTTTTTTATTTAATCAGTTTTTTTGAGCATTAAGTGTTAAAACGTCGAAAAATGCCAACACCTGAAAATATTTTACGTTTAAATATCAACGCTCTATCTAGTAATAGAAAATAGGAGTTCCCAAAATTTTTTAACCTCTTGCACTAAATTTCACACTTTTTTTATTTAATCGTCACAATGATTTTGATCTATACCATATATTTCACTATCGATCAAATGATACTTACATACTTAAAATATGACAACACGTCAACACATCAACAGACAAATGAATTGGCAGCTGCGCGACAGAATAGCTTGTGAGCAAAGTTTTGCGCATCTAAAAAAATGAACTTAGAAGCGCGAATTTTCAAATGGTACTTACGTAATTTTATATACGGCACTGGAAAAAAAAATCATATATCAAATATTTTCTCAGATGAACAAAATTAGAGGTGTAAAATTCATTTTTATCCGACGAAAAGTAAAAAATCTGATTAAACTGATAATTTTCTTTATTTTTGTTTACAAGTGTCATTCCGTTCTATACAAACAACGTTTATTTTCCGTGTTCTACTTATCAAAGTCACTTTCATTTATTTGACAAAAAGTCGAGTAACGATATGTAAATCGTCTCGTCTCGTCGTGAATAAATAATACACTTTTTATCAGATTTGATAAATAAAATTATTTTTTTTCTCGCCCCTCTATTGCAAGCATACACATTTATACAGTTGACTCGTACACACGTGCTCATTCTCTCTCGTTTGCATTGGAAAATTAATGAATATATTATACAATACTTACAACGTTTCTCATTTTTCAAATGATAACTTTTTTTCTCAATCTGACATTAAATTTTTCGTTACTTTATTAAATATAAAATGACAGGCACTACAGACCAGCATGTACGGCTTTATATTTCCCATATACAATTAGGAACTCGACGCAGCATTTGCTCTTAAAAATACAATTGCACACGTTCTTTTATTGTTCCTGTATTTTTTCAAATTTTTTTTCTCTGCGCATCGACATCGAGTCCAGCAATGTTCCGCACAAGAGTCCCACCCCCCTTTTATTCTTTCGATTTTCATTATCTATTTGTGTATGGACTTTTTGTGTGTTTATTTAATTTGTTATTAATATCGTCGCTACGATATATCATTATGTACAAGTGTGCTCGAATGTTCCAAAAATGTATTTCTTTTTCATTTTAATTTACTTTCCTTTCTATCCGTAACACAAATATATTTAATATAATTACACTATTCTTCATTACATTATTTATAACTTTATAATCATAATATTACAGATATTATCTTCAAACTCTTATGCGCTATAAAAATTATTTTACAGCCTGAGATGCAATGTAACAATTGGTGTATTCTGTAAGTTTTCGCTTTGCAAGCATTTTGTTTTACCTAACAACAGTTTATTGATACTAGTTTATGTGAAGGATATTTTTCTGACGCGAACATCGTGAATCTTGTTTTCAGCAAGACCGGAAGTTTCGTTTCATTAATTTTTTATGTTAATTTTTTTTATTGCAGGAAAACAATCGTATTTTTGTAAGTTGCTTACACAATATCGGCATATTCATTTATATGTATAAATTACAATACTTTTTTATGTATTTTACTCATTAACACTTTTTTTTTTCATTGACAAGAAAAAAAGCTATTACAAAGCTCAAAACGCTCTCCTAAACAAAAAGTTTGGAAGCTCATTATAGATCGAATTATTTTTTCCAGCCTATACTTAATTGAGTCAAAACTCGTTTTTGGAATCAGAAGAAAGACTCTGTGTTACGAAGAATATCGCGAAAATAGCCTTGGATTCGGAACTTTAAGATGAGTTACCTTACTCAAGTAAATCATGCAGTCAACAAACTTTAGTAGGTATGTCCTCAACCAATACGCGGTATTTATTTATACAACTCAAAAAACTAATAACATAGACATGTAAGTCACTAAATGTTTAAAACTATAGAAATTGCAACAATTGTTAAACAATTATCAAATGAAACACAACAATATAATATTGGCACATCTACAGCATTCATGAAACTATTGAAAAATAGAAAAAAGGAGTTACAAAGTCGAAGCAGAATGGCTGCAGATTCCAATGGCAGAGTACATTATACACTATTGGTGCAATTTCAACGCAATCTTTCAAAATATGTAAAATAATGATGCACCCAATCTGTGTAAAGCTGGCACGTATTGTAAGGGATTTTCTTCAGATACTTAACGGAACGTTTGGTAAAAAGAAAAAATAAAACCTAATGTAGTACGGTGATGCAACGTAACATTATAACAACGAATTGCAAAAAATAATTCTCACACCTTTGTAATTGAGTAAGTAAATTTTTTTCCAACAAACGAGCACAATAAGCATAATTTTACTTGTCCGTTGAGTATAGGAAATAAAGATCCGTAAAAAAAAGGATATCGAGTTTTGGCTAGTGAAAAAGAAGAATCAGTAACTGTATAAACAGCAATATCAAAGCTCAATCTTTTTAAATATTTTCTTGTATAACAGAAAGTGTTGTATTGTTTTTTTTTTTTTTTTTTTTTTTTTTTTTTTTTTTTTTTTTTTTTTTTTTTTTTTTCATACGCTGCTTTCCACACAAACTCTGGAACAATCAGCCCATTGAATTCCGTTGTGTTTGTGATAATGAGCGACGAGTCGATAAGCGTCACAAGCTAATGTACATACATGTCGTTAAAAGTAGACAATCTAATAAATTTTCGGACACCGAGACCAATCCTGCTTACTTTTGCAATCCCAATACTCGCCCGTGTACACGTGGCATAGGCTATTCGTGAACGGATCTTCTTGTTTTTTGAACCACATTGGCTCGTACGGTGAGAATGGTAAGCCTGCAATGTAACGAATATTAATAATATAATAAACAGAGAGACAATAAAAACAATGAGAGCTTGAAAAAAGAAGTACCTTGTTCGGCTGCTTTTTCAGCCTCGGCTTCGCGAGCTCGTCTTTCGGTTCTCTGCTTCTCTTCCAGGCGTATCTTTTCGGCGTTAGCTTCCACCCATTGTCCGTTCTCCATTAAACGCTGATCCGGCCGTAGACGCGAGTCCGTCGGTGCCACATTCTCCTCGAACTCATTGAGCTGGCAGGCCAGTTCCGTGAAATTATAGTACTTTTCACAGTCGTCTCTGAAATCGAAAATATTTATACATTATCTATATGACAACCAGTCGATGACTAATTAAAAAGTAAACAACGAACGGAAGAATGAATCGTCACGACTTACGGAGGCATCCGCCGCTTCCAGGCGGGGACGTACGGCCCGGTCTGATAAACCGGGTTGTCAGCCGAGCCTGACGTACTGATGACCGGGGCGATCTCGACCTTGGCGTCCCAGGTACCCTGTATGACCCACTTGGCTTGTTTGTTCTCGTCCATGACGACTCCCTTGACCTTGCGCTGACTGTCGCGCGCAAAGTACGAGTAGGGCACGTACTTGAGATGGCACTTGACTCCCTGCTTGTGGTTGACAATGTCGGTGTCACCGCTTTGATCGACCCAGAGCTTGCCGACGACGATGTTGTGCACCGTCGTCGTGACCTTGTGCCAAGTGTAGTGGTGATCGCCGTCCTTGAACTCGAGGTGTACCGTGCCAAGGGGATAGATCTGCAGGTACTTGCCCCGAAACTTGGAGGTCATGGTGAACTCTTGCCAGCAGCGCCAGCTCTTGCCCTCGCAGTACTGGGCGGACATGGGCGGATGGTGAGAGACCTGTTCCGAGAAGGCACGCCAGCCGAGATCGTCGCTTCGATCGCACTCGTAAGTCTCACCTAGGAGCGGATTGAAGGGCTTGCCCGTGCGCGAAGCTGTCGTCGAGTAGCTCGAGATCGTGAACGCGGCCACGTAGGCCATCTGCTCGCAGTAGTCCGTGCACTCGGCTGCCCTGTATCACATTCGCCATTGTTACAATTGTCACCATCGGCTGCAACGGATCGATATCGGCAATACGTACCGGTCGAGAATATCCGCGTACTCGTAGTCCTCGGTGAGCCTCTGGAGCATGCTAAGGGGCTCGGAAAAGTTGACGGGCATCGGTATCTTGGACAGATCCTTACCGATGCAATTTTTCATGATGCTCCAGAGGTTGAGGGGATAGTTGGGCTTGTCCGGCACGCAGGTCCTGCGTTTTCGTCTCGTGCCGTTGCCGGCCCTCATCCTGGAGATGCCGCTACCGACGCTGTCGGCGTTCCAAGCGCTCTGTGGACGCGGGGCAAGGAAATAAAAAAAAATATAAACCAAGTACCTATCATAAAAATCGAATTGTGTGTATGAGTACTCACGCCGTCGGGCTCGCTGTTGGAGTGAACGTAGCGTCCGGCTCGTTTGGCAGCGTCGGTCATCATGAGGTAGGACGACGATTCGTTGGCTGGATTGACGGGGTCACCCTCTGAGCTCGAGCCATCGTCGCTGCCCTGGGAGTAGTTGTTGTTGCTCTCAGCCTCGGCTCGCTCGATCGAGCTCAGGCCTTCGTTGGCCACCCCCAAGGTGAACGTGTCCGATTCCTGGGCGTCGTAAAATTCAACGCTCTCGTCGTCCTCCTCGCTCGGCGACCTGTTACCTGCCACCGAATCTGCGCGTCGCCAGACCACAAGCACAGTACGTTGCCATTAGACCCTCGCATACGTGTTACAATATATACATACATCATAATATATACGCTTAGGGCTACAAGATAATGAAAGATTGTTCGTTAGATAGCGTTGTACCGTTAACAACTCGAATGATTCACGGGTATACGTGTTTACTTACTATTTGCCTCAACCGCACTGATAAGACAAATATACACGCTTACTTACGAAGCGAAAAGAGACATTTTTGTTTTCTCTCGAGTGTTTCGGCGCTCCGATCGGCTCGCTTTTATCGCGCGATTATTTCGTTACATAAGCGTATAATTGTAAGCACACACGTACGCGCGCTCTTTTTGGCGCTGATTGAAAAAAAAAAAAAAGTCGGGGAATTCTCTCGAGATGATTGCCAATTGATATTTGTCTCGCGCAGTCACCTTTGTCCCGAGAATCCCACCGATATTTTGTAAAAAGTTGGGCAATTATCGCGCACGATTCCGTTGCCTCAAAAACAACGCGCAGCTACGCAAACGCGAGTGGGCCTCGGCGGGAGGAAAACACCAAACTCAAGGAGTCGTTTGTCGAAAGTATTGGACGAAAAATCGGCGAACTCGCGTACAAAACTACGCTGGACTGTTTAATCGTCTGTCTGTTCGAGAGTGATTGCACGCGAGTTGGATTAGGGTGAAACTAAAGTTGAAACTGCACGCAATGCGTATGTGTATGTTTTGTATACATCTACCTCATCTCGACGGCGGGATGATGTGCCCTCGCGAACAATTATAGCCGGTCATCAGGTGTGATGCGCATCAGAAAACTGGCAGGGAAACTAAGATCGCGCGAAAGCCAAAAGCAGTGAAAAAGAAGGGGAAGAAGTCGCGGTGAGCGCGCGAGGGTCAACGGATAAACGAGCGCTCGATCGGCGAGGAGAGAAAAAACGATCTATACAAGGATAATATATAGGCATGCGCGCATTTCGATGTTTCATTTTCGGAACGAGCGTCGACGAGGTGCTTTGTGTACCTCGTTTATTTAGTATAATATTTACCGACCTACACGCGACCGAGTCCGACCGGTTATCGATGGATAGATAGTAGTAGAAAGGTGCACATTATCGAGAAAATTCTTACCGAACGCTTGACGCGCTTCGTTTTGCACCTACGCACGGAATGCATTTTTTTTTTTTTTTTTTTTTTTTTTTTAATGAAAAAAGAAAAAACGCTCCCATGAAATACTCAGGTACAGGAATTCGAGCGTTGCTCAATGTGTAATTACGGTATTAGACGATGAGAGAGAGAGCGGGAGAGGGAAAATAAATTGAAAGAAAAACTCGGTCGCGCGCGCGGAAAGGAAAGAAAAACGACGAGTGCGCGTGTCGCGGAGGAATAGGCCTTTCGTGCATTAAATTTCAATTAATTCCGCTGCAGGGTATCGTTCGGAGTCATCGTCACCCATCCCGTTACTGACGCAATCAACAACGTTACACATATCCCACCTTTACTTTTCCATTGAGCATATGGTATGAGTATATTATATTATATTATATGGTGGGAGAAAGACTCTTTTTAAGAGCGAGACCCACTACGGTAGATGACGTATTACAATTACCTCATCTGCGATTTAATCGGGACGCTCGCAAAATATCTGATACCCATTGTTTGGTGATAAATGCCTTTTTTTTTTAATTTACAAAAAAAAAAAAAAAAAAAAAAAAAAAAAAAAAAAAAAGAATTTCGAGTAAGCGCATGAATGCGTATACGTATGTATATGTTGCCGGCACTGCACCTTCGCGCTCAAAGTGTCAAGGCCGAGTTGTCGGACACCTGATCGAAACTCCAAACGTGCACGGCGCGTACACTTTGCGCGATCCGAAAGTAAGTAGATGATAATGCAGGTGCATAAAATGTTGTACGCTCTACAACCCTCCATGCATTCCCCCAACTGATATACCAGTGCACATAGGTATATTTACGTGTACCTGCTGTTTAATATATTATAGGCGGTGTGAGCGCACGCGATCTGCCCCTTTCTCCTCCACAAGCGACTCGGCTCTCGTCACGCGAGCCCTTTCTTTTAATTTCACTTTATTTCATTTGCAGCTGGAAGACCCGAGAGCGCAGATTTATCCGTACGTACAGTAGGAAGCGCAGAGTACTACAGAAGGGTTGGAATACGTGAAATAAATTTGTTTTTAAACATCACCGGTGGCGGGTGAAAAAAATACGCAGGAGCGAAGGGATGTTCTTTTTTTTTTACTTGGTACTCACAGGTACTTTTTTTTGTTTCGTGGTTTTTTGTACGCGCAGGATTATTCTTACTTCGTTGGGGGTAAGGTATGGTACGAACAAAAGTCCAGCTTCGCCTTCTCTTAGGAAAACAAGCAAAAAAAGACAACTTACGGGTCGACCTGCCCGGCTGTACCGTCGGGAGGGCGTGCTGGGCGGCCTCTTCGAGGCTCGAGTACTGTCGCGACAATTGCTCAAACATCTTCTCGAAGCGGACCTTCTGGTCGCGCTCGTGCTGCAGCATCTTCTTCCACTTGGGCTCCTGCTGCTGGGCCAGCTGCAGATACTCGTCGCTCGACTGCAAGCGAGAAGCAAAAATTTTACTCGCCCACTCTTAATGTATTCAAGTACTTACAAAACAAATTGCGCGAGGCCAAGTGTAAATAAGTAAGGACGATCGGCGCTCGAGTGCAATGATTACTGGCGATCGGCACGCGTTACGCAAGTCACAACGATACACGACCGATCGTGATTCTAACTCTTTGTTACTTTAAATCCCCGCGCGGAGGAGGATTCTGTTTTTTTTTTTTTTTTTTTTTTTTTCCTACAGCACTGATCGTGTATCCTTGTACTGTTTTTCCTTCTTCTTCTTCTTCTACCTCTTGTAGTTGTTGTTCCTTTTAAGTACCTACTTACGTACTTTTTTTGTTGTTGTTTGCTCTAACCGCTTATCCATAATAGGTATACGCGTACACAACGTACTTTGATCATGGCGTTGGCAGCGATCCGGAACTGGGTGGCCTTCTCGTTGACGGACTTGAGCTTGGAAGATAGCTCGGGACTGAGGTTCTCGAGGGTCTCGAGATCAGTGAGGGAGCGCTGGAACATCGAGCCCCGCTTGGTCAGCAGGTCGTTCCACTTTTGCAGAGTCTCGAGTTTTTCCTGCAGGTCCTTCATCGTCGAGGGCGTCTCCACCTTCTGGCTGTCGTTGCTCTGGTACACCTCCTCGTCCTCGTCTGCCAAAGAAATTATGATACATATATTGTAATAGTACTCATTAAAACGATTCGTCGTCGTCGTCGCATGAGCTCACTCACCGGATTCCATGGCTTGGATGGCCTTGGCTTTGGCGAGCTCGAGCGCGGTGACCCATTCCTGGCGCTCGACCTCCGTCGCGGCCTTTATGTGAAAGGTCTGCGTCCCGCCGTTGCTCACGACGAAGGTACACGCGTCCACCGTGTGTATTAAGGCCCCGTGTAACGATATCGTGCCCCGACACGTGTGGGACATCTCGCTCGGATTCCTAAACGAACAACGTTCCCAAGGTCACTATCGAAGAAACCCTCTTCCTCTTCCCCCAGAATAAATAAAAAAAGACGATGACCCCCCCCCACTCTCCTTTCCATTGTCTCCCTTTTTTCTTTACTTCTGTTCATTGGTGCGTCAAGTACATTATGTTAGTTGAATTGCGTGTGAATTCGTGGCTTCGGAACAATTATTATTATTAACACTGTATAATATATACCTCGTGTGAGTGCTGATGTCAAGTAAAACGATTAGGAACATTTGCCCAATGACAATTATCCTCTTTTTGTTATCATCAATCAAGCTTTTTTTTTTATGTGAGTTACACACGAAACATGGGTATAATACACCATATATTATGTGGGGTAAGTAAGTACATGTACAGCAAACTAGGTATGTAGTATAGTATATGTATATTACAGCAACGCTACACCATAATTCGTTGAAGCTCGTCAAGCAGTTGGATGAGTTTTTCATGATTTCAACAGTAAGTGGTTGTTAAAAGCAAATAGGGAACAAGTACTTATGTGTCCTTGAATCACATGTTACTACTTATTTATTATACGAGCGTGTTTCCAAGTACCCCCACCAATGATCTGTAAGCCAAGATTTACCAGAGGAAGCACGGATTCCAAGTGTACCAAACGGATGAAAAAAAAAAAGTTTCTACTGAAAAAAGCTCTGGTTAACGCAACGCTGTTCGACATTACAACTCTCGTTTTACATTTTACATTATGCAACTAAACACGACTAATAAGGAAATTAATGCAGGTGTTCTGAGTGGTATTGCATATATGTGTGTACTTATGACGCGGCACAACCGAACAACGACGTCACATATTGTATATAAAATATACAGACCATACACTCACAGAGTAAACAACGAACAGGAACACGTACACGACACGCACTAGAAAAATTTTATAAAACACATTGTGTGTGTGTGTGGGTAGGTATATGTGTATATAAAAGGACATAACAATGCTTCACCTTTCCACAGTGTTAAACAATCATTAATAGAGTTGTTATCAACATTTCGATGATTAAAAGTAATTGACAACACGAAATGTCCAAGCAACATTGAAGTATCGAGAAAAAATAAATACCATCACAATTTTATCGATAGTAAGACACATTCGATGATTAGCGCGACAAGTTTATTAGTTTAGAGCACATTAGTAATGTCACGTAAGTATGCATACATATATTATTTTGTGGTACAACTGTTTCGAGTGAATGTTGGTTTGAGAAAATGATTACACTTCTTCTTTCGAGAAGAGAGTATGTTTATAAAATTGAAAGTACATTGTAGAGAATATATATATATATATATATATAAAAATAAATAAAAATAAATGAATAAATAATAATAATGACATTGTTCAGAGTTGATTTTTTATTTATTTTACTTACTCGGAGGCTCTGCCAGCTCTCCGCTTGCGTCGTGACGATATCTTTGGCCCCCCAGTTGGTTCATTCCTAAACAATGTACAAACATACAATACAAACCCATGTACATTTAGGATTAGTTTTCGATTGTTTGTTTGTTTGTTTTTTTTTTCTATTCGTTTTTTTCCGCTCCATCCGTGCGAATTTTTTTGGCTAAAAATTCGGAATTTTTTTATATATATTTGAATTTTGAAAGTTGATCATTAGGTCTGGCTGTAGGCAGACTTTGATAAATACTAGATAATTTTATGATGAGTCACAGTAGCACAAAATGAGGATGATAATATGCGGTACCACAGTAATTTAACACTGAATGATCGATTATGAAATACCATTTTTTTTTTTTTTTTTTTTTTTTTTTTCAATGAGTACGTCACATATGGAATCACAAAAAATTGACTTAAAACTTGTGCTGTACATAACATAGGATTCTGTTTTTTTTTTTTTTTTTTTTTTTTTCCTACAGCAAACTCTACAATTCACATCCTGAAATCCTTTGTTTCCCGCCCTGCCTACACTCCCACATCTTTATCTAGCCCACTGTTATTTAATTCCTCCGCCTCGTTCTCTGTCACCCCAATATTTCTTGACCACTCGTCCCTCTTTTATATATTTGTAATATTCACAATATTTTGACCTGTCTGGACATTCCGTCNTAAATAAATAAAAAAAAAAGCTTGTAAATGCACTGACGTAAAAAAAATATCATTAAAGGAATATATGCACTTGAATACAACCAAAAACGCTTTGGTAACCAATTTGTTTGAAAACTCGTAAAATCGATATTCGTAAAATCGCTACTCAAGCTCAGCGATTTGTATCAATGTGCACAAATTTGAAAAATATTCAGTCAAGTTAAGTTTTATCATTTAATTTTAAAGGTATTTAAAAATATCAGAGTGATACGAAATATGAATAAGTCTTGAAAAGTGACATTTGGTAATTTTAAATAAATATTACTAAAAAATATATGATGAAATAACTACTTGTTTTTTTCTACCAGTGCATATACATTTATTGGTGATGGCTTGTGATGATTTATGTGCCATGCAAAGTGAAATACTTTCGTGGGAAGCTTCTGTTTTGTCCTTTTTTTTCATACTGGCTCCTTAAATGAGTAATTTTATGTCGTATTGAATAAATTAGATCAATGTATTATTTGCGCAATATACCCACGAGATTCTAAGAAGTCGGTGAGAGCACATTGGAAAAAATACTAATTACTTTACATAAGAAGTTCTTACAAGGTAACTAGCTTAGAGATAGACTTGTACTTTTTTACATTTGAACGAATGTAAATACTTGTTTGAAACTGCGCTATTTACCTAAATTAGATTTTACTAACACAAAATTTAAAGTGTATTGGGCATCTACAAAGTTTTCGTGACGTGTTGTATTGTCTCTTTTTTTTAATGAACGTGTTTAAACAAATGCCTTAAAATTTTTTTTACTCAACTTTTACATTGATTTAATAATACCCGGTTCTTCTATATAAAAAATTAAATCTAAATACACAATTGAATTGATCTCTCGTAAAAATATTAGATAATATTTTATTAAATAACAGTATAGGTCCTATTGAAATGCATCTCTGGAAGAGAACATGATCTACAAATATTTCCGAAAACGGCGTAATAGAAAAAGGAAAATCATATACTTATAAGATATTGAACTCTAATCAATATGAGAAAAGTTCTTTACTCGTGTCTATAAGAATGCTGTTATAAAATATTGTGGGTGATATGTTCAACAGGTGAATGCATAATATTCTTAATGTTCTTTTATAGATTCACAGTATCAAGCGGAGTTTAAGAAAAAAAGGTCAATTGAGTTTATACATTCTTATGTGGTTGTTTGTGTCTTAAGCCTTTATATTTTTTTTCATTACTATTATTTCATAGCATATATAATAAAACAAAATAATGTGGTAATTCATGTAGCTGATGGTATTTACACATATACATATTCCTACAATCCATCAAGTATTTGTCCAGTTGTGAAAAAATGTATCCCAATATCCATGAAGCCCGATAATATTGTAATGTTGCTGTAATATTTTGCCTTGGATTTTGATTAAAAATATCCATTTTTTTATAAGTTTAATGGCATTTTTAGTAATCACAATACAGAAGTTTTTGATTATAGCAAAGTAAAAACTAAATTATTGTATTGATATCGAAAATGATATGGGAGATATAATTAATGAACAAAAATTCTTATGATGCAAAACGACACTACTAGATAAAGTAAGTCAAGTGTATATATAAATACTATTTTTTGAATGAATCATGAGTTTTTGTTAAATAAGTAGTTGTATTATTTATCTAAGTTAGTCGTTAACTATTAGACTTGTGAATCATAACGGATTTATAGTTAAGCTTATAGACATACAACTAAATTGTAACTTTGTGACAGTGAGCACTTGCAAAGTATACATTAAAAATAAAATTGCAAAAGAATACTATTGATTCAAAAAGAAATTAGTGTCATTCATTGTTATTTGGCGGCACACTTGACAATGGCAAATATGTATAGGAAAGATTAGGCGCTTATACTAATATTTACAGCCATGCCAGACACAAGTAAGCATAGAATAATCTTTCATCCAGTACAAAGAGGGCTATCCCAACGTAATCTGGAGCAAAGCAATAAATGTAAACAATGCACTATCATCAATTGCATCATAATCTGGCCAAGCCAGCAATAAATGAGCAAGAGACAGAAATACAGGTTTTACGTATTCATTGATACAGTCAACGTAAACAGATGACACATAAGCAACGAATTATTGGTCACCAGCAGTTTTTCCAAAAAACGATTTCAAGCTAATAGCTGACAAGCGGTTGCGTTACAGCAAAATTGCATTATCATCGGATGACAGTACAACAGAGCGAGATAAAGAGAAAAAGAAAGAGATGGCCCCAAGGGACACGGTTTTTCCTGAGTATAAGTAATAATTAGCGAACAAAAAACGAGCTGAAAAGATAGGTAAACAAAAAAGAAAAAAAAAAAAAAAAAATGGGCTCCAATTCTGATCCGACTGTGATATGAGCATAGCTACGCGTAACGACACGTGCACACACAGCAGCGGAGAGCAGATCGAGTAGATGAGCATCATCAACATCAGGGAAATCATCAGAGCCCGCGTACCTGTAGTAGGAGAGCAGCCCGTTGTCCAGGACGAACCACCTGCGCTGGTAGCCCTTGAGATAGTTGGTCCACTTGAAGAGCCAGCCCTTCTTGGCACCATGCTGGCTCGTCTTGGACTCGGCTGAGGTGGTGCTGCTGGTGGCGACGGCGGCTGCCATCCCGTTGTGCGGATTGCGATAATGACCTGGAGCTGTTGCCTCCTGCTGGCTACAGCTGCGACGACGCCTAGATCGTCGACTGCCTCGCAGGGGACGGAGCCGTGCAGGCCAGCACCAGGCCCCTCGTTTCTTCTTCTTGGTCCTCGTCCTCCTCTCTGTTGTACAACACTGTTTGTTATGTACGTGTACAGCTGAGGATTCCGTTGTACGTTGTTATATTGTACTCGTATATATACAATAAAATAATGTGCAGTTGCTCCGCTGCATGAGAGTTGACGTGGTGGTGGTGTTGTTGTTGTTGTTAAACATATGCATCAGCTGCAGATTACGAAGGGCCTTTCCTGCACTCTTGCCTCCACCTCCTCCGTCGTCTGCTCCGGAGTTGTCGAGTGTGTATACGATGCAGAGGAGGGCTTTGACTTTGCTTTGATAAGTATAGGTACTTAAGTACGTTCGTTGCGGACGTCGTTGTCGGGAACTCACGACACTTAGACCTTCCACGTATACGTTAGGAGCAGCAGCAGCTGCATTCCTCACCGCGACGATTCTCGACCACCATTTTACATACGACACGGAAGCCGTGCCGTGGAGCAGGAGAACAACTGAACTGCCGACGTTATTTTACGCTTATGAGCTGGTACATGCATACGTATACACTTACATCAGCTCGATTGTGTATATTTAGGTTACTAGTACTATATATATAGGTATTATTGGGTATCAGATTGTGTTCCAAAACGCATCGCAGTAGTTTAATCGCAAAAGTATATGATAGAGCTACGAAATAGGTAACGCTGTCACTTACACCACGTGATTTTGTGTTTTGGAACATGACGTGTAATATATTATATACCTACACGTCATTGCGCTGTTCTGCGCTACTTCCGCAATAATAATATCAGTCGCGTGACACCTGCAGTACCTACTTCTGGAAATGAGGAAATCTGAAGTTCTTTAAACGAAAAATTAAACTGACTCCAGTTTTTTCGAATATTAATTACATCATCAGCAGAACACCTAAGGCCAAAATGGAGAAAAATATTGTTTATGCACCCTCCCAACTTCAACGATGACCGATGGCTAAGCGATACTTGGTCCAGAAAACTGAAAATTTTTTTTTTTTTCGTATTATTTTTTGGTTGAATGAAAAATGCCTTTTTTTCAACGATCAATAATTTATTAATATTTAAAAAGTTTATCTAAAAAATATACGTATGAATAATTCGAATCCCGATTTTTATCGACAAAAGTGGAAAATCGAATGTTTCGTAAAATTTTAACGTCATAAAAATTCGTCTTACTGTAGCCTTGCAAACTACTCCTTAAAATTTACGTTAAATATAAAAATTGCACAACCATATCTTGAAGTTTTTTTTTTTTTTTTTCTTAATAAATACTGCTTTGCTTAATTTTTTGAAAAAAATAGTCATCACTTTATGCTGGATTCGACGGTAAACCCATAGACCAGGCATCCAGCAGATTCTTATCCTGAGGACCAGCTCCCAAACTTGTCATCAAATTTGTCAAGTCAGTTCTGTGAATTTGGCCGTGTGTAGCATGAATGACTTTTGCAATACTGTAAACAGATATTTTATTTCTTAAATATGAGGCAACTATTAAGAAAAAAATTATTACGAATTAAATAATAATTGGTACTTTGTCCATTCTTCTTGTAAATTGTAAAAATACGATTCTAAAAGAGAATCATTAAGTTTTTTATTGTCAAAAGCTTTTTCCAACTTTATTAAGAGATTTGGAAGTTTCACTGGTAACACTCCCGTCCATTTCACCACATGAGATCTTGTACTTTGAATTCTGTGATCTGCAGGTACTATATCGAGCCTGCATATTTGGGAACAAGGTAAAGGTACTGCAATGGACGTATCAACACCTATAAACAATAAATATGAAGGATTACTTGTCTAATGGCCCTCCCACGAGGACACGACTAGAAACGTAAAAAGTCATGAAAACGGTTCATCTAAAACTTACTAATGAAATTGAAAATGTTTGTTTCTGGAACATTTTGAGCTCTGGTTTTAACTCTTCTACAAGCTCTTGGTACAAGAGAGCATAATGCATATAACGACTCTAAAGTTTCTCGCGCCGAACCTCTCACAAGAATCTTTATCCCCGTTAAAACTGCGTATAAAATTTGACGAAATTGGTCTCGACCAAGTGTACTTCTCAAGTTTCTCAAAACTGTCATAGGATTTAAATTAGAAACTTCTTGAAAATCTGGTATACGAGAATCCACGTTAAGATTGACGGGATATTTCGCATTGTTTAATGTAAAATTGTCGTCCATTCCTGCTTATGGCAAAAAATTGGAAGTTTTAAGTAAATGATTTTAATTAGTTTTAATTAAGTTTTTTTTGTATTTACCTAAACAATTCTCCTCGTTAAAATTAATGTCTTCCCCTAGTAAACTTAACGGTAATATTTCAACAAAATGTGACGCTCCGATGCTCAATATCCAAACGAACCACATGTGAATTCTGAAAGACAGTTTCTATTTAAAAAAAAGATAATTTTTTTTATAGACAGCAATTTACCTTACAAAAACATATTCTTCGTCTGTGATTTCAGTAAGAGTTCTTGGCTGATTATTAGCATTGGTCTGTGAACCGGGATGAACATTGTTATTTAATGTTAAACGAACTACTCTCTGTGGACATCTGGCTTCTTCCACATTGTACTTTTTTTCAGCAAAGCCTTGCAACTCTCTTATGATTTCGCTTAAATTTTCAACTATGAAAGGCCACATGTTCAATAAAAATTGTTTATCCCTCATAAATACTATGAAACTGTACCATCTTCTTAATCCTCTTGCCTGAAATGATTTTTTTGTTTTGAAAACGTTTTTTGAGTATGAAGAATAAACATACCTGGGCATCCTTTAAAGGAAAAGTATAACTCAAAACATGTCCACTGGGTTCATCAAAATAGCAAATACCCTCCTTTCCAGCATATTCTTCACAACTAAGACTTCTCATGCAAGCACACTTCAATTGAAATCCAATGTCCTGCATCAAAGACTGTTGAGATGAAAGAAAAGAAGTTCTGGTCTCATGTTCGTTGCTCAGAAATTTGAGATAACCCAAACTGGAGCATCCTTTGCAGTCCTGTAGTTCAGAATAAAGAGTTATTGCATCTCTCAGGACCTCTTTCGACCCATAAAACTTTAACTTTTCATTATTTTGGTAGTCAAAGTTCTTAAAAGTTTGTGTAGTAAACATCACTTTGGGTCCATGCACTTCACAAAAACTACACAATGCTATGGCTGCATTCATTTCTTGATAAAAAATAAAGTATATGTTTAATGATTTGCAGCAGCAGGACGTCAATGTTCTCCAGTCGCTGGTTATACTTTTACGACGTTTTCTAAACATTCCCTGGGAATCATAGGTACAATATAAATAACATGTACGGGTGTTTATCTATGTGCAATACGTGTATACTAGTAGAAAAAAAAAAAGTGAAACAATACAAAACGCGCACTTGATTCATTATTGTAAGTGTAAATTGTAAATATTTAATAAAAAAATACAATCATTGTGACATAAACAAAATACTCTAACGAGATACAATCAGCGAATGAGATTTTACAACTAAAAAACAAATCAATGGTAAAAAAACATAACCTCGGGAATATTAAAAACAATACCTATCGCTCAAAAAAAAGCGTGCAAGATCGAGAGATGTTGCATAGAAAAAAAATATATTTTATATGGAAACATGCCTGCATGTGGCTCGCTTAATCGCGAATTAATTATTGTCCATGTTTATCGGTTCGCTTTCACGTGACAGTGTTACGATAAAAATAAAAACTCAACGGCACATGACACATGATCAGACCACTCAAGTAAAGAAGTTAAATACAGATATAGGTATACACCTGTATATACTCTTTCCTCAGATCACTCAGATGTCAGATTATATATTTACTGACAAGTATATAATTTATACTTAATATAGGTATATACTTAATGCGTATTGTTAGATTTACGTCAAGAAAAAAAAAGTCATTTTTCAATCATTCAAGAATCAGCAGTTTACTCAAGTTCAACTAATTGTAATTTAATTTTTATGAAAAAGCTCACACTTTGCATATATATGTGTATATTGTATGTACATGTAAGGTAGAATTTTTAATTTATTATGTGATATATTTTTGTCGTTTGGAGCGTTTTTAGAAAAACACGTATTTTTTGTCGATTTACAATTTTTTATCATTATCACTTTGTCGTACAATGTCCATTCCTTACATTATAATTAAAAACTTTTTTATACCATGTTAGTTTGTTTTATTTACTCAATTTTTATAGAGTGGGTTTTTATTAAGGTACGCGAGCATAAAGTGCAACTTATGTATAAATAATTATAATGTAATTTTTTAATAAACAATAAATTGCGCTAAACTTGAAAATAAAATACTCTCTCATTGTACGCCATTTGGTCAAAAGTATGAGATTATTGCCTATTGAATATATATATAGCTTTGGCAAAAACGTAATAGTTTATGAAAATTGTTCCGTTGCACGATAAAAATACAATTATGGATGCGTGAATGTGAACATAATTATTATTTTGAAATACTTACTGTATATCATCAAGTACCACCGTGGGACCTTTTATTTCCACGGACTACTCCAGTTTACAAGGTATATACCTATACGTCAAACAATCTAATAGGTACTTATGGGACTTTGAATTTCCAAGCCGAGTTATTGTCAAAGATTTTGTCGAGCGCAAAATTTATTTGGTAATTTTTTAAGCAATAACTTATACCGTAGGTTTTCAGAGCAACCTAAACGAAACTTGCCATTCGAAATCACAATTTATTTCGAAGCTATATTATAGCTGGGTTGACTACTTACGAGTACTTGTATGTGCAACTAATAAATAATATTATATGCTTAAATTTTGTGGTTCTTTTGTATCGAAAATTCCCACAGCTCAACTACTCCAAGGGCAAAAAATTGCAGTGCCAACAACAGTTTTTCCAGTAGGGAAGAATACGAAAAAGTGTTAAAATGGTAGTTTTCCTACGAGTTTGAAAAGTCTCTGTTTGCGAACCAAGAGATTTGCGGCCCGAGCCGAAGGCGAGGCCCTTAACGAGGTTCGTAAAGGAGACTTTTCGAACGAGTTCCGGAAAACTGCTTTTTCGCCCGAGGAAGTACCAGCCTCCCAAAACCACCCGAGGGCGGAAAATAAATTTGGTGTGACCTCACTTCGTAGTAAAGTATACTGAAAAAAAATTTCGTCAATTTAAATAAACGTGTCTATATACCAATACAAACAAATAAATACACTTCTTTGAATGAAATAAACATTTATTCAAATCTATTAAATATTACCATTTGATCTGAAAATACATTTATTCGTTTGTATTCGTATAAACGTTCGTTTGAATTGACGAATTTTTTTTTTTTTTTTCGGTGTACGGATGTTACGTTTAAATACTTTGTCAATCGAGAAACTTTTAAACGTTCCATCATCTCTGTCATTTTTTTTTGTATGAAAAAAGAAAAAAAAAATTCGTGTCTAATATTTTTTATAATCTACTCAACGGACCTACTTAATCGTTATTATTATTATTTTTTTTTTTGGTCCCTTAATTCCTATTGAAAACTGTGTCAATATATAAACAACAATCCCACGCTTTTTTTATCACTCGTTGCGTACTGTTTGAATTGTATACCGATTTCTGACTTTGACCTTTATGAGCTTGTCACAGTTAAGTATAAAAACAAATATTAAAAGATCCGAGAAAATCTAACACAACATGAGCCGATTATTATCTTGACCAATAACTGCGAGCTCCATACTTTAGATATCTTTTTTTTTTTTCCCGTAGGTACGTAAATCCAGCGGGAGAGAGACGCTGACAAAAAACTCGTACTACTGGATTGTCCAAAATCATACGTATAGGTATACATGTGCGCGCTGTATATACTCTTAACTCTACGGTGTAGGTTTTCCGAATCAGTTGTCAAACCGACTTGCATTCGCTTACAATTATTATTATTATTATTATTATTCCCAAAGTTCCGCTGTCCCCTTTGAGAGTGCATGTTTGCAGCGGTGGTGGTATTATCACCTTTAATCGTTTTAACTCGTTGTGTGTGACACGGAGGAAGAAAAGAGAGGCAGCAGATAGCAGCTGATATACCTATCCCCTCAAAGATGGCCGGCTGCTGTTGTTCTCGATATTATAGAGAACGCTGCAAAGCGCACAGGCATTCGGGATGAAAGATTAGAGCTAAGGTAAGCGAAAAGATCAAAATAACAATGCACCTATACTGTGCTCCGATTTTTTTCTATTTAATTCATTGATAGGTACTTAGTTCTCGCTCTCTCTCTCTCTCTCTCTCTCCCCCCCCGTGTCTTTTATATATTTATATTATCGTTTTGACCTGCTTGTTACATAGTAGTTGGGTACCTTTACCTGTTTTATGTATATATATATATACGCCAACACTTACAGTGTTATGCGTAGAAAAAATAAATACAATCTTTATATTTTCTCACTGATTGATCATGGATATACCGCGATATACTTTCTATCATTTATACGCGGATATAAAGAAAATTGTGGTTTGTTGTATGTGTATCAATTCTCACGACTCAAGTTGAATATGTCACTCTTTGAAACAAGTGTAGCGGTTTTACGAGTTTTCAGTCCCTTCATTTGGCTTAGCGGCCGTGAGTGGCAATAATCGACTTGTTTAAAAACGGGACGATACACTCTCTTGTTTTTTTACTATATTGTAACAACTTTTCAGATGCTATAATTGTGCAGTTTTGAACTCGTGTAAATAAGTATACAACACACCAGAGCAGCTCTCCAATGGCTTTTGATCCAAGGAACGTCAAGTATCCCCTGGACCTGCACCATCCGCAAAACATGTCGCCCTACCCGTACCCGAGTCATCATGTCATTCAATCAATGCACAGGATGGACGAAAACAGAAACGAAAATCAATGCAGCAACAAAGAGCTGTGTCCAGCTATTTCGCATCAGTCGTCTGGTACTCAAACCATACAAAAAGTCGATGTGGCCACCATGACGGATCCATTGCAAATAGATTTTAGACTGACCTCCGAGTACTTGGAGCGTTGCTCAACTAGTCTCGGTAGATTGCCATATGTTTGCAAATACAAGGACAGTAGCAGTAATTCGTCGGGACGCAGCTGTCAGGATATCCACCCGAAAATTGAGTATGATTTGCCGGAACCGCAACGCATCAATGGTAAGATCTTTTTTTTTTTTTTTTTTTTTTTTTTTTTACTCCATGTATGGTGGAGAGCCAATCAAGACGAATTTAATTGAATTTGCTCGATTGAAGGTATGCTCATTTATCATTGTCCCGAGTGTGCCTATCGTTTCGAGGATCGCGAAACTTTGCAAGATCACCTAGATGATCATAAAAAGCGGCCCTACGTGTGCGACATATGCGGCGTAAAATTACGAAGAAAAGAACATGTCATTCGGCACTCGTCATCCTGCCACGATGTCAAAAGGTACCAAGGCAATCAACCGCACTTTATTTTATTTATTTCTTCTATAATTTCGCACGTTTACTTTTATAAACACATGTAAATGTAACGTTGTAGGCCCTACCAGTGCAGCACCTGTTGCAAGTCTTTCAAACGAAATGAGCATTTGTTGAGGCATTTTTTGACGCACAGTGGACAAAAAACAGAAGTGTGTACCGAGTGCGGTAAAGCTTTTTATCGAAAGGATCACCTGAAGAAGCATTTAAAATCGCATGTGGCGAAGCGAGCCAAGGAAAGCGATTCTTTTGCTGCAAACTCGAGCGATGTTCAAACGCAGCAGCAGGTGGCAGCCCAACAGGAGGGACTGAGCACCTTCACCATGATGATGAGGCAGGCCGGACCGCCTCCGTTTTCTGTCATGAGAACATAAAAATGCACGTACTCCCTTCGAAATAATCAGGCGTACAAAAAAAAAAAAAAAAAAAACACTTAACTCGATACTTTGATCTTTTTCATTTGAAGTTTAGATAGACATAGACGTCGATGAAATAACTTGATTAGTGATCGAAGTTCGGAAGTATATTTTGTCTTGTTTGTTTTTAAATGTTTCATTCAACATTAACAAGTATTTCGCGTCGAAATATTGATGTAAACTATCATCGAAAACTCATCCGTCAATGAAATTTAAAACTTTTATCACGGTAATTTCACTACCAACATCAGCATCAAACTTTCGTTTTTATAACTTTTTATACGTTAACTATTATTTACCTTGTTTATCGACATTTATAGCTCACTATTTGATGATTTGAAGCTCTCTTTCGTCTTTGTAGTTTTAGTTTTTTGATTGACATTAAATTTTTTTTTTTTTTTTTTTTTTACACCACTTGGTAAGATTTGATCACATTATCGTAATTTTAGACAGTACTTAACATTATGGCGAATAAATTTGATTGTTGCGTAGCTCATAGTTAGATACTTTAAAAATAAAGAAAAAATAATAATTAAAATATTAAATGCGCTTTGATATACAGTTCTTAGCTTAAGTGAAATTTTTCTATTGTTTCAAAAATGTAGTTTAACGCGATGTGTCGCATTAACAAAAAAATGTGAACAGTGCATAAAAACTATTTGTGTAGTTGCGACAATCCGTACACTCGAGTGCTTTAATTACGAGTTAATAATTAGCTATAACAATGGTGATCTATGCGCGTGGTGATCAAGCAATCTGGTTATATTATTGATGATAAGAAGAAAAAAAATGAATAATAATAATAATAATAATAATCATTTCATTATTGTCGAATGATCGATGCATAAGTTGCCTTGGTTTATTGAATAAGTAAGAGTTTATACAAAAAAGAGCGATAAGACTTGTGAGCTTTTATATCACGAAGCAATTGCAAAATCACTCAAAGTTTGCTCATTACATAACAAAAAATACGTAACTACTTTCATTATTAATAAAAGCATTAAATACAAAAGAAATCCGTAAACATTTAACTCCATGATTCCTTTCCCACTGACATTTATACTTAACTGTTTGTACCATTCATTGGACTCAACGTAAGTTTTAACACGAATAATCTTAGTTTATATTTATCTTCGTAAATGATCGATTAAAAAAAAAATATCATTCGAAATTGTTAATTTAATAGGTTTGTTCCTGATATCAGCTTGGTCCAAATTTACGAACAAAATCCAAAATACTTACCATTAATTTTCCATTAGTTTTATTATAAGGTTTGAGCGAATATTTTTAACGTTAATCATGAGATCTTAAAATATTACCACTAAGCATCTACGTTTAGGAAGAAGAGGATATCAATGAAATGAAATAACACATAGTTTTCTCACAATTTTTGTTTATATATATATATGTATGTATATTATGTATAGGTATTACATAAAGCAGCACTGGGGGAAGTCGTTCACTTAATGTTTTATTTTATTTTACATAATAGTTTTACGATCTTCGCATATGCAGCCTTGCATTTTGAAAAACTGTTTATTTTACGAAAAAAAAAAGTTTATTATTATTGCCCTTGCATGCGGCGCATATCTAGGTAAAAAATAAACCGCTTTTTCTTCAAATCACTTGCGCTGCCAAGGACACGCGAAGAAAAACTTTTGTTCTTACTACAGTCGAAATGATATTTCCTTTTTTTTATACCATATTTGTGTTCTTTAAAGCTGCATTTTTGCGCAAATACTCTTACGTGTACATCAAAACATTCCACTACTTATTTGTTTTTCGATTAAAATATAATATCACGAAAGGAAACGCAAAAATATTATTTAACTCTAGCTTAACTTAGAAATTATATTGGAGTTCTCTTAATTAACGTTTAAGTTGCGACAAAGTATTTACAATTGCACAAATAATTTATCTTTCGTAGATATATAATGTTTATCACTCAAAAGAGTAAGAAATTTCGCTTGAAAAAAAAAAAAAAAAAAAAGTTAATCCAACATGACGCTGAACACTGTCAAAAAAGTATGTATTTTTGTACAATCGATTTTTCTACAACGCATATAACGTCATAATATACATATTTTTATTTTTTCCTTTCTATTAAAGGTATTAGGAAGTCATTTATTTGCAAACTCCAAAGGCGTTTTGCGTTTCAAAACTATTGCTCGTTCTATGGTATATTTTTTTTTTTTATTTTTTCTTTCCTTTTTGTAACGTTATTTACGCGCTAATCTATTGAAAATGAGTTAATAATGCTTTGTACTATTTCAAGGAATTTGTATACCTCCGCGTTTTTCATCTTTTATACCCTTTTCCACATAACTACTTTTCACACTTTCATATAAATCAGTTTACTTTTATTTCGTTCATTTGATGCTCAATACTCGATTTCGCACCTGACGGCACATACACGTTTACCAGGGCAATAGCACCGGGTCCACGGGATCTCTTGTGCTTGCCTTATTTGGCCGTTCACCAGGTGCGAACTTTGCCTTTCCTACCGAGGGCGCACCAAACGTTCAAAGTTTAACGAAACAACAAAAACAAAAAAAACGCCCGAGGTAGAAAAAGTGTGTATACTCAAGAGTTGTGTAAAAACGAAATGTGTTTGCAAATTGTTTTAAAATTTTTCACTCGGACTTGAGTATCAAATTTGACACAACTTAGTGCGATTTTTTTTTTTTTTTTNCAAGTGAGCTTTCAGTTCCAAAATTTAAAAGCGCACGTTGTGTTTTATTTTTATTGTCGATGATTCTATTGATTTTACCCGTAAATAAAATACAGATATTGCTGAGTATAGCTCGAAAATTTTTTAATTCTTAAGTAAAAAATGAAAATGTAAGTTTACAAAGAATTGACTGCAAATTTACATATTGGCGTGAATTCTATCGTGTTGTTTCGCACAATCAAATAATTATAGAAAATTGCTAATTTACATTAAAGAAAAATGTAATGTAACCATACATTCACAAGAGTTGCGTGAAAAAAAAAGTTTTTTAAATACGAAATTTACTTTGGTCTTGAAAAATAGATATTGCAGTTGAAAAAATAAAAAAAAATAAAAATAAAAATTATATCAATAAAATTTACAAGTACAGATAAAAAATCGAGTGCAATTCGCATCCATTCATTTTTAATTTCTTTCTATAAGTATTTGTTCATATTAGTTTTTATTTTAATTTTATCGCCTCATTAAAAAGCTTGGACACTGCGTAGAAAAATATGCCTATCGCCGCTCGTCTTAATCACGTTTCGTTAATAATTTGCATACATTAAATTTTCACAATCGCTCGTTCAAACGTACAAAATTGTTTACTGTATTGAATACATGAAAGCTCTTTGGAAAAGCTTTGATTTTTTTTATTTTTTGATATCTACATGATGCAAAACGCATACAGAAAAACGTTGTTCCGTGAAAGTGTCTAGTTTTTAATTATTTTTGTTTTTAAAAATATAACACGAAAATTATCGAATCCTGTTTGTCAATTGCTTTTGAAAAAGCTTTTTCCTTTTAAATTGGCTTTCTTAAGCGCTACGCACGTTGAAAACATTTTTTATACACTTGGACTTGAAACTCATCAGTTGTAGTATTTAACTACCATTTACAAATCTATATAAAGGTCTAGAAAAATTGTATTTCACTTATCTTTGTTTGCAGACTTATCAATTTTATAAAATAGAAGGCTACAGCAGCATCGAAATTCATATAAATTTTTCGCATCTATATTAAAATATAGTACACTGATAGAAAATTCTTATCATGTAAAGCATATAGTATAGCTATAAAAAAATTAGCAAAAAAAATTTTTCAAAATGTTGTTTATTAAAAAAAAAAAAAAAAAAAGAATGAATTTAAATTAACTACAGCAAAAAGGAAGAACAAATATTAATCACATTTTCGTATATAGTCGCTCGTCTAGTAAAACAATTTGGTGTACTTTTTACAATATTAAACCAAACAATTTTACTTTATTTTTGAAGTGTACACCAATATATCTTTCGAAATATTTTTTTCACAAGTTATAAAGCTATTCGTTAGTTTAACGTTTATAAAAGATACCAAAGTGACACCTGAAGATTAAAACCTATCCCCCGCGCTAATGTATCGGTTAATTTTGTTTTCTCATTGATGAAAAAATAACGATCACGCAAATGATAATTTTTCTCTCGAAAAACCATTTTTTCGCGTAAAACACTTTTTAGTATCTTCTTTAATTGTTTTTCTTATGCTATTTTGTTTCTCGAAACTTCGTAAATACACACACACAATCTAGCATTTTATGTCTCAAGAGATGTGTAAATTCCTCATACAATCCACGCACGCATTACTCAACCTATTCAACTGAATTTTTGTCTTCTTGTATACAAACTTATATTCTAGAAGTATCATCTACCATGTTTATAATTTTTATTTCATACCATTTTTATATGGTCACAAGTGGCTGTGGAGTATTTCTTTTCAATACGGCAGACCGTGTTTTTTATGCCTTCAGATATTTATTTATACCTATATACTATGTATACTTAGTTACTCTTATAGCGTACTGTTTTATTTCACTTAGCACTTAGTCTTTACATGCAACTTTTCATATTGGATAAAATTTCATTTATAAATTGCACGTAATTGCAATAATACATGAATATTAATTTATAACTAATTCACGTATATGCAGGGGTTGGATGAAATCATTTTCTTTCTAACGTGCAAACTTAAAAAAAAAAAAAAAAAAAAAAATCATAAAATATCCTTTTAGAATGGAATCGTCACATGCAATTAGCCAATATTATTTTTGTAATGTATTACCACGTGGAAAAATTGATATAGTTTATTGATAGGCTGGTTGCCTTGAGTTGCCGACCGACTAGAATAGAAGGTATAACGACGTAACATACAAAAAAAAATTAGGATTATACAAAGTAAAGCGTATGGAGGTACATATACTGTATTAGTAAATAAAAGTAATGCCACAGTAAGTATTAGTTACATTAATTAGCCAAACTCCCGCAACGATTCCATTTTGTAATCTGAACTCTTGACCCTTAAAAAACATAAAAACTAACTAAATTTATAATTTTTGTTCTCATAAATACTTAATGAAAAAAGTGTGACTCATTTTTATTATTGACGAATACAATCTGTCACATTCAATATCGCTCCCAATAACAGTTAGTTAAAATAATTGAACCATATATTCCACATTAAACAATATTTAAAAAGTAGATATACGAAACACATGAATACGGCAAGAAATGATGGCATGTTAAAAAAAAATGGCACGATTAATAGATCTTTTTATGCGAGTACAATAAGTAATTATAATTTCATTGGCTTTATGGTAGAACCATAGCAGAGCTGCTTTGAAAATAAATTTCGAGATCTAAATTTTGTAATGATTCACTTAAAATCTAGGAAACTTAAAAAAAATGAAGGCGACTCTCAACGAAACTATAGTATTATGAAAAAAACAAATACAAATATAAAAACAATAAGCAAATACAATGTAAAACAAAATAGAAAAATCAACTTTTCCACGAAAGTTGCAACTTACTTGGGAAATATGTATAGTGCGGTACATAAAAGCGACAATACGTAATGAAAGTATAATTAAAATGATTTTTTTTTCTCTTCAAGCTCTAGCGTAAACTACAAAATACTGTCGTTAACCTCTTTTTTTGCATATTTATAAAAAAAATTCAAGCATACATTGAAGATTTTCTTTAGAATATTGCCATTTCTCATTTTATTTTTAGTACTGTGCTAAGGCCTTACTTGAGCACGAATAAATTTAACTCCTGCCCTTTTTGCTCCCGCTATTTTCCCATCTCGACGGATGTTTGTGTATATGTACATACTTGTATTCCTTCATTGCATTAAAATGGAACTACTTGTCTATGAAATTTATTAAATTTTTTAAGGAACGATTAACCACTTTCTATATACCTTCTGAAATTCAATTTCTAAATAAAGGAGAAAAAAGTTCTTTAGAAGCAATGAAGAACACACGATTTGAATAAACTCTGTATCGGACATCTGAGATCAAAACGTGCCATCAGTATAACGAGACACGCTTATTTATACAAACGTGCATATGTGTAAAAAAAAAAAAAAAAAAACGTAAAAACTAGAGTATTTAAACGTATGAACTCTAGCGTAACAACGAAGTACTAAATGAAAAATAATCGAAAACGAAAAAACAGAGTAAACGCATTTTAATTTTCTTTGCACTAGTACATCACTTTTCTGTCTATTTATTCTCTTCTGTACAAATTAAATTTTCGGTTTTTCGACGAGCTATCATAAAAATACTTTTTTAATTTTTTTTTAACTATGTATCTTTTATTCTTCTTCAAAGTACTCAATAACATTTCCTCACGCTGGGTTTTCATCCCCAAGTACCAAGGGAGATTTTTAATATCTTTTTTTTGTTTTTTTTTTTTTTGTTACATATATATGCTTCAGCAGGTTCACTCTACAGTTGTA